TTTTTGTTAGATTTTTTCTTTATTCAGGACATGAAACGTCCTGAATCAACACACATACAAGTACGCTAGATTTAAAGATTAATACACATGAATATTCATAAAAATCAACACCAAAAAGGGCTGATAAAAAGGAAAACGACATAATGTTTGCAATATTTATGGGTAGCTACAAAAATAACGTCAAGATCTAGGAGAGAGGCGGAAAAAAATTTGTATCCTCACAGGATAATGTAGTCTGAAGTGTGTAGAAGTGTTCTCAAAAAGATTCTATCGATGAATTTGTACCTTTAGACTTGATCAGCTATTCCTTTAGACTTGAGACTTGATCACACATACGAATACAAAAAAAATGAAATTTGAAACAAAGATCGTTTAAAGTATCGAATGAAACTCGGTGATTTCATGAATTTTATCAATATTGAGAAGAATTGATCTTTTAGTTTTTAGTTTTAGATCTTTTAGTTCTTACTTTTAGATCTTAGCTCTTACTTTTAGATTTTAGTTCTTACTTTTAGTTCTTACTTTTAGATCTGACGAAGAATTTATTGTATGAATTTTGTCGAAATTCGGTCTCTATTTATGTTGTCGACCTTGCCGCTGGCAATAAAAGGCCGCCGGAAAGCCGCCGGAAAGCCGCCGGAAAGCCGCCGGAAAGCCGCCGGAAAGCCGCCGGAAAGCCGCCGGAAAGCCGCCGGAAAGCCGCCGGAAAGCCGCCGGAAAGCCGCCGGAAAGCCGCCGGAAAGCCGCCGGAAAGCCGCCGGAAAGCCGCCGGAAAGCCGCCGGAAAGCCGCCGGAAAGCCGCCGGAAAGCCGCCGGAAAGCCGCCGGAAAGCCGCCGGAAAGCCGCCGGAAAGCCGCCGGAAAGCCGCCGGAAAGCCGCCGGAAAGCCGCCGGAAAGACCGATCTTTTAGTTTTTACTTTTAGATTTTAGTTCTTACTTTTAGATCTTACAAAGAATTGATCTTTTAGTTCTTTCTTTTACATTTTAGTTCTTACTTTTAGATTTTAATCATTATTGTTTAATGTTAATAGTTAAAAGTAAAAACTTTTATGAGAATTACTTTGAAAAAGACTTGTATTTTGAAATGAAGATGAATTACATCCAAAAAAAAGCAACTGTTAAACGTTAAACTGAGTCCAAGCTGAGAGGGTTTGCCTTGTTCTATTCTAGTCGTAAAATCGGTTTCATTTCATTTAGTACCTTTCATTAACTTGACCTTTTGAGTTGATTGGTTAAAGTTTGATACCGCAAATCTGCCCTTCGAACTCTTTTCGGGCTGGGAATGCAAAAGATGGGCGGTGCTACCAGCGCACTCTTGCTTACCGAGTGAAAGCTCTACCAATGAGCTACACCGACAAGTATCACGTTGCCACCAGAATAGGGTGTTATCTTTGCCCCCTCCTCTTACTCTTGATGTGTTCAATTTTCCAATTAACTTCTTCTCATTAAGTACCAAGTTTTCTAAAGCACAAAATGTCATAAGATTTAGCATAGATTTTTGAAATCTATTTTGAAGAGTCGTTTCCAGTTGAGAGCAAATGATTTTAGCCGGAAGGAAGGAGGGAAGGGACACCCGTTGGCTAAAGAAAAGGGAAGAGACTCTCCAGCCTCTCCAACACCCCGAACACCCATTCTCTTTTGCTCAAATCGGATATTTCTTGACATTTTTGAATTTTAGAGGGATTTTTTTTAAAGCAAAGGTCAATCAGAAAATAGCTGAGATTTTTGTCATCTCTTGCATATTTCCTTTCCTTTATCTACCATCTATTATTCAGTAGATCAAGAAATCAATAGATCTATTCAGTAGATCTAGATCAAGCAGTTGCCACTAATCAGTAGGTCAATTTCATTTCCTAAACCTATTCATTTCCATTCACGAAATTGACTCATCTAATCTCAATAGTTCAGCCTTAATCTTGATATTCTCAAGGTATTTTTTACAAAAAAAAAGAGAATACGAAGAAAAAGGAAAGGGGGTGGGACAAATGCGACCTTTTTTTTGCGCACCTGGACATTTGCGCACCTTTTTTTGCTGGAAAAGGCTTTAGCCAAGACCGTAGAGCTTCGAAAATATTTTCATATAAGGAAATCGTATGCGTAGCTTCCGAATTTCGACAAATCAGACCTCACTGACACGTCAAATTTGGGCTAAAAGGCAAAAACTGCGGAAAAGCGTTAAATTCCGTAGTTTTTGCCTTTTAGCCCAAATTTGACGTGTCAGCGAGGTCTGATTTGTCAAAATTCGGAATCTACGCATACGATTCCCTGATGTGGAAACATTTTTGAAGCTCTACGGCCTTGGCTAAGGCCTTTTCCAGCAAAAAAAAGGTGCGCAAATCTCCAGGTGCACAAAAAAAAGGTCGCATTTGTCCCACCCCCAAAGGAAAGGTTTTTTTCTTTTTTCCCTCTTCGATTGCCCACCTTTGATTCATTTGATCTAATTGAAAGCTTGAAGTTTGATTGCCAAAGACCAAAGAACTTTTTTTATCCCTTTAACCTCATCGTCGCTTTCCTTTTTTTTCGTAAACTCATTCGCTTAAAATGTAAGATTCTCTTTTCAAATAAATTTTTATGTCTTACATTAGCTGATTGTTATTAAAGCTGACTGTCAAATAAAGCTGATTGTTTTCAGGATCTCGAAGCAGTGTAACGGTTTATCAGCAGTGTATCAAGCCCACTCAAAACATCAGTTCACCAGCCTGTCAAATCCATTCGATATTTGATTCTGTGAAGCAATTCGAAACACTCATTCTGCATTCTGTGATGAAGCTTTAAACTCCGGTGAGTGTTAATTATAACATTAAAAGTTTGCAGGTAGATCTACTTATTTTAATACTTTAGGTCTATTAGGGTAAAGAAACTCTTAGTAGATCTATTTATTTGAATACTTTTTGAGTAAAGTAGTTCACAACTTTCTACTAATTTACTGGCAATGAGTTCAGGAAGTTCAGTAGCGTTAGGAGAAGCTCCAGAAGCGCTTATAGTCAAGGGTTTTACTGAATACATATAGATTATTTAAGCTAACTTTGTTTTTCTTTCCAAAAAACAACTTTGGAAAACATTTTATAATTAGAAAAAATCAGGAGGTTGAAAGAAAGAAAGAAAGAAAGAAAGAAAGAATTACGTAGAGGGATGAAGATCGGTGGCAGATAGGTATGGGTGGGCGTTCAGCCCCATCGCTGCCCCTTCCCCGAATCCTTTATAGAACCCCTCTTCACCCTTCTAATTATGTTTATTGTTTGTCATTTGTGTGAGCCTGTCCAATATATCACCTAGATGGCCTTCATTAACCCCATATTGTGTGCGCCGCAAAAAAAAATTTTTCTTTCGCTTGTACCCCTGAAATTTTCGCACATTTTCATTTTCTTAGCTCAATTTCTTAGCTTTTAGCTTATGCTTTAGAGTCGCAGAATTGATTTCGAAAGGTTATATTCAAATCAAGAAGCTCTAAAGCATAGTGGGGCAGCTAGATGATTCGGACATTTGAGACGCGCCCCGCCCCTTTTCCCCTTAACTTTGAGCTCAAATTTCTTGATGTTGGGCTTTTCAATTTAAATATTCTTAATTTCATTGGATGCGCCAATTCTTTCTCTGTCGATTGGTACAAAAACCATTTGAATTGAACAGCCGAACACCAAGAAATTTGAGCTTAAAGTTAGATTGCCAATGCAAAAGGGCCAATGCCAATGTATCAAATGTTCTAGCTAAATAGCTTGACTTGATCCAATAATTAGTCTGAGTAAGAGGAAGTTAGGGCACGGAAAACAAACCGATCTAACCTTTTCTCTTGTTCAGCTAAGTGGTTCAGACGTCAGAAGCTGGCACTGAAGCTGCTTGGTTCGATCCCGCTTATCTTAGCTGAACATTTTCAGCTTATGCTTTAAAGTCGCAGAATTGATTTCGAAAGGTTATATTCAAATCAAGAAGCTCTAAAGCATAGTGGGGCAGCTAGCCATAATTTTTTGACGCTTATCAGTGCTCTATCAATTCCAAAACCTAAGCCACTTGTGTGCAATTAATCTGCGGTAAATCTTGTACACCCAAATCAGGGTTTAATTTAGAAACTTTAGAACTAAAATGTTGGCTTTTCAAGTCGTAGTGCCCTGGGAATGGCAACGGTACTATAGCTTATAAAAATTCCAAAGCCTAACCCCAACTAGTAGGCAGGCTATCAACGCTTACCTCATCTAAAGCGTCGAACAACTATTACCATACCTATTGTCCCCTAGATCTCCCATAATCTGTATTGATTTCAAATGGAAATTGTGAAAAACAAACTTTATCCTATCATTACTCCACTTCCGCCATCTGATTCACTGTTTACATCTTTTCCTATCCTCAGAAATCTTTGAAAACATCTTGATTCTTCGTTTTTTCTTTGCCAAACATTTGCTCGAAAGACAGCCGCTAAAACAAGCCATAGAAAATGAACACTTCATAAAAAGAAAAAAAGAAATTCATTTCAAAGAAACCCAAGCATTCCCTAATTATCTGAAAAGTTGGAGAGAGAGCCCAATTTGTCTCCGAACACATCACAAGCCAATGATTGGAACACTCCAACCCTTCTTGCATAGACAGCAAAATCTTGTGAGAGTTGATTTGAATCTAAATCAAAAAACCTTTCAAAATAGGCAAAATAGTTTTCATTTTTCTGCGCTTATAAAAACCGTAAACACACCCTTTCTTTATGCTGCGTTGTAAATATGACTGTAGACCAAGAAAATATGACTGTAGACCAGCCCAAGTCAAGTCCTGATCAAGCACTTTTGTCCAGCTCAGCCAGTCAGGTCCAGCTCAGCCAGTCAGGTCCAGCTCATCTTCAGGCCTGGCTCTGACTAGGTAGATTGGAAAATTCCGTTTTTAATCCTAAATCAGATTTTCCTTTAGTAGTTCAATTACCCAATTAGCTTGTAACACAGTGAATTGCCTGAAGTGCTTTATCTTATTTGATAAATGATCTGCTATGAATTGATGTCATTTATTTTCAGTTTCCCGCAGTGATGAGCCACCAATTGACCGGGATTCAAGAGTTCCTCTACGAGATTTGCATTCCGGCCATCGTCATCCTTTGTGTTCTCGCCGCGCTTTTCAATATTTTGGTGAGTTGAGTATTGTATCTATTTGCTGACACAAAAACGAGACTTTTGCCAAGTGCAGAACTTCCATAAGGAAGGAAAAAAGGAACCAAATCTGTACCGAAAAGGAACCAAATCTGTACAGAAAAGGAACCCGATCCGTAGAGAAAAGGAACCAAATCTGCACCGAAAAGGAACCAAATCTGTAGAGAAAAGGAACCAAATCTGTACAGAAAAGGAACCCGATCCGTAGAGAAAAGGAACCAAATCTGTAACGAAAAGGAACCAAATCTGTAGAGAAAAGGAACCAAATCTGTACAGAAAAGGAACCAAATCTGCACCGAAAAGGAACCAAATCAGTACCGAAAAGGAACCAAATCTGTACAGAAAAGGAACCCGATCCGTAGAGAAAAGGAACCAAATCTGTAACGAAAAGGAACCAAATCTGTACAGAAAAGGAACCAAATCTGTACCGAAAAGGAACCAAATCTATACCGAAAAGGAACCAAATAAGAAAAGAAATTCTGTAAGAATTCGTCAATCCATTGAAAATTCTATGGGATGCTGTAGAAAGATCTATAAAATAACGGATAATGAGGCTTTGATCTTGTTAATATTGTTAATATTTGTTAATCTTGTTAATATTGTTAATATTGTTAATTGAATATTGTTAATCTTGTTAATATTTGAAAGTTATATATAAAATTGTCTTCTAAAATCCATTCAGATCTTCGTCAGTCGCTTCTACGTGAAGACTCGGTCATCATCACTTGAATTGACCTACTCATTGGCCCTATCCGACACATGGACATCAACAATTATTGCGGTAAATCTTGATCATCATCATCATCATCATCATCAATAACCTTTTTTCTAGGGTTCTCTCTTTTGGAACAGCTATAAGCCGGTTGTTTTGGGGATTCGACATGAGTCATTTTGTTTCCCGCTAACGATGGAGGTGATTTGAAGAAGAAAATCGCTTTTGATTTGTTCTAAGCAGTAAAATAAATACGCAAAGTTATAGCTGTACTTACGAGTTCTGATTTTAGGCATTTCGCACCGGTGGCTTGTTGACAGGATGTTTTCATTTGGCCGCACTTGGCTTCGTTCACTATTTGACGATTGTGCGCCCGTTCGATCATGTGAAATTCATGAACATTCGGTGAGTTGCTGAAGGATTAGACTTCAGTCGTTTACTTTTTTTAACAAGGTAGAGAATGCTATTTACTGTGCAAAATCTACAGTACTACAGGTATTGTCTGTCTTTTCTGTCTGTGCTTTAAAGCGGCAAGAAATCATCTAGCACAAGACGCCTATTAGTGATTATTAGTGATGCCATTTGTATACATTGTACCTTATACATTGTTCATTATACATTGTACATTGTTCATTATACATTGTACATTGTTCATTATACATTGTACATCATACATTGTACATCGTATACAGTATTGTACATTGTATACAGTATACATTGTACAATACACCATCTGATCTACAAATTCCATCAGTACAGCTCATTCAACAAACCCTTCAGACTCACTCAAACATTGATCATCATCATTTGGTCAGTGCCACCCCTATTGCTCATCGTTTACTTCTCCTCACACGCAAATCAAGGATATCGGTAAAGTTTTGAAATAATAAAAAAAACTTTTTTTTAATTCAGAAACGAGCGTTGCATGGGTGCTTCTTTCTATGAGGCGCTCTATTTTCGAGCGTTCGTCTCATTGGTGATCATCGTTTTAATTATGATCACGTGCGCTCTCTATTGGAATATGTTAAGGAAAATTTCGTCGGTGAGTGTAAGAAAACAGAAACAAGAAAGAGAAATGATCTGTCATCGTACAAATGTTACTGAAGTTAAGGTGTGAGATTAGTGGCAACTATGTGTGCCAGTTTAATTCCATTTTTTAGCTCTTGATGAGCGCTGAAAAACGGTCGTAAAATCGTTAAACTCAGACAAGAACGAAGCAATTTATCAAGGACACCCTTATCAATTTATCAAGGGTGTCTCAAAATTTCTTAAACTTTTTGTAGACGGACAGTTTGACTCGGAAAATATGCTATTTTTGAAAAACTAACGCCGGATTAGGGGTAGGCTAATTTCCGCCATTTTATTTGCGCAACAGGGTCATTTGCGCAACTGGGTCGTTTGCGCAACTCGCCATAACTTCCTGTTAAGTGGACCAATCTTTATGATTTTGGTTTCATTTTGTTGCACTTATTGAGATCTACAAAATGAAACCAAAATCATAAAGATTAGCCCACTTAGAAGAAAGTCATGGTGAGTTGCGCAAATGACCCTGTTGCGCAAAAAAATTCGCGCAAGGTAGCCTATCCCCCGGATTATGAAAATTCAGTTATTTTCACCCGCATTATACTTTTTTTGCACAAAAGTTGCAACTCTAAACAACTTTTTGATGAGAAGATCGTTAGAGCGCTTTTTTTTGCTTTTGAGATTTGGATGTGCTCCGTAGAACCGCTTGAAAATCTTTCGTTTTTGAGATATAAAGTTCGTTTTTGGCTTGTTTTCAAGAAAAAAAAACTTAGGTTTATCAAATGGTAACAATTTTTGGAAAAAAAATTTCATTAATCATTTCCAGGTGAGAACAAAGACCGGTACAGCGAATCCTCGTGGCCGGCGAACAGTCGTAACAGCCGTCTTGATATTCGGCACATTTCTCATAGGATGGTTGCCAGCATCAATCATGTTCATTCTCACGGCAAAGGTAAACAAAAATTAAGGTTTACTGTGGATTGAAAATTCCAGAACTCAAGAAAGCTTTCTGAGAAAAGATGACAAATGCAAAAAGATGCAAAAAGATGCAAAACAAAAATTCAGGGAATGCCTCTCCACGGGAACAGCAGTATCATCGTAAACATTCTCTCAATCGTCGTCCTCGTGAATATCATGGGGAAAACATTGACAAATCCAATAATTTACGCAACAAGGTTGGATGGAAATTTAAATTCGCAATTTAGCATTTAATTTCAGAATACCCGAAATTCGGCAGTTCGTTTTGCAACGAGTTTTCTGGCAAATTCGAACCCAAAGTGTCGTCAGTCGACGATCCGAGTTGACCCCACTAAAGAAAAGCTCAGGAAATTGTAATTAAATATTTTATTCAAGCCACTTGTATAATTTTGATACTACGGAAAACATCAAACGATAAGGAATGGCAAAAGAAACGTGTCTAGCCAATTAATTACCCTTCACAGATATCACAAAGTAATGCCGAATATAATAGTAGCATTTCGAATATAATAAGATTTCTTGTTTATGCTTACATTTCGATCATTATTTTAAGAAAATGAAACTCAACACAAATGAATAACAAATTAAAGGTAAAAGTTCATCATTAATATGGGTCGGGTTCGCTTAATCGCAAGTGATCAAGCACATACTTGGGCAATTTATCCTAAAGCTTGTGTTTGAATGGAACAGAAAGAAAAAAAATGAACCTGACTAGCCGAAAGTTGATGGAAGATTGCCTCAGCAGCGGAGAGAACTTCGTCCAAATTTATGTGCATTGAAAGCTCGTTAACATGCTGAAACCAAAAATTTGACTATGACAAAGAAATTTATATTTGAATTACAGTAGGGGAAAAAAATTGCACCCTCCGAAAAAAACAAACGAAAAAAGTTTTTTTGCTAAAATTTTGGCAATAACACATGTGCTGCCGGTTTGTTACAAGTTTGTTACAATAGTTTGTTCATGAGTTAGTGTTTTTGAAAAAATAAGAGACACTTTATTCTCAGACTTCACCAATTTTATAAGGGGATTTTGTTAAAAGAGGGTGGAAATAAAAGTGCACCATAATGAAAAGAAGTTTTTTTAGTATTTTGTTGAGTCTCCTTGCACTTTAATGAATTTGTGCAGCCTTTTCAGCATATTTCTCAAGTTTCAGCACATGAGACAACTCTCAACTTTGATAAATCTTGTCCCAAACGCGAATTGCAATAAGCGAGCAATTCTCGTTTTACATAGGTTCCCTAATGTTCAACTGAAGTATAAACGGAAGAGAAAGGCCGTATTTGGAGAAGAAAAATTATTGATGCAAAACGACACGGAAAGACGTCCAAAGCGGTACCCGAAAACTTTCACTTTCACTTTCCACTTCATCATCGATTCACTTTGGAAGTTTTGGGTCGCTATTCTACTGGAATAGCTGCCCAGGCTCCATATTTGTATGAATAAGTAGACACTTAATCCTTTAATATTGCAGCATATCTAGACCTATCCGTGAATATTTCGATCCAAACGAGAGGCTTGAATGGATTCGTGACAATGGGTCAGCACGTGGCACTTTCAGCAGACGCATTCTGTGAAACGCTTCAAATCCAATGTTTTTGGCGTAGATAGGCTCTTTGTGATTGAATAAAGTACTAAAATACAACACCTACTAGAAAAATTTGCCGAAGAGTCAACGTTCAGTGAATAAAGTGCTATGTTTTAGCAAAAAAATTTTTTTGCAGGGCGCGATTTTTTTTCCACCACTGTATATAAAATTGGCTCTTTAAAATCTACCTTGAGTATTTCCGTCAAACCAAAACCATTTGCAATGATGAACTCGGTCTCTTTGTCCAGAATCGCCACGCAAATCAACAAGAGGAAATTGGTGCACGGTTGTTTTGTCCATAGAACCTAAATGATTGATTACCCAAAACCATATAGAGCCAACTACCTCCCACAATTTTGAAGTGTCTTCGAACGAAAACTCTCTCTTGAACCATACCAAAATCCATCGGAAACAGAAATACATGTCATCTGACTGATGTGATTCTGCAAAAGAAATATACAACACTTAAAAACTTCTTTTACCAAGGTAATTGCAAAGTTTCGGATTGACAATCATGACGAGATCGTGAAGCTGATTCAACTGCTGCTTAATTGAGAGTTGATCCTCGGCAAAGTTAGAGTGCTAAAATGAACTAAAATCAAGAAATCAGTTCCATTTACAAACCACAATATCCATTAGTTTGGTAAAACACCAAAATGCGTCAACTTCATCTTCAAGAACAAAAAGGATTGGCGAGCAGAAATCAGACATTCCTTGTACGTAGCCTAAAGATCGACATGCATTTACTCGTTAAGAAAAGTTTACCTAGATCAAAATTGTACATGCAATAAGTCATCAGCACATCATGAAGACGAGTTAAATTCGCATTTCCCTCTCCCTCAAAGTATTTGTATGTTCGATCCGTCCGAGCGACGTCCTTTTCTAAAAGTAAAGATAAAGTAATAACTGAAACAAGATTCACTTACCGACTAACGATTTTCGATTGCTGAACATCAAGAATCGCGACTCTTGTTCGGCATTAATACTCATCCACTGTCCCTTCATTCGATAATAATCTTTCTCTAGTTCCTGGCGGCGCTAAAAATAAACGAGTTAGCAATTAATGGACCCATTTCTTACCAATTTATGCTCGGCCAGCGATTCGTTCCAACGAATGTATCCAAGTAAATACTTCCAAGCCTCTTTTCTGAGTTCCGGCTCCACTCCACCACTAGAACAAAATCAAATGCATGCAAATATTTTAAATACCTACCGAAAGACGCACATCTTCAGGTTGTGCAAATTACGTTGATCAAACGATCCATGTGGATTCTTGTACGAGTCCCAAATTTGCTAAAAAATTGCTGAAGCTTCAAAGAATCTTTATATTGATACCTTTGTTACAGGGGTTTCGCGATAAATTTCCGGGCGAGGTGGAAGTTCTAGCTGTGTGACCACTTCAAAATCGCCTTGATCCTCTCCCCGATACACACTAAAAAGTCGTATAATTAGACTGTTTTGTGTCGTAAGTTCGAAAAGTCAATTCTTAGTTCCCTTACTGAAGATAACTGTATTCTTTGTACCGAATTCTGTCGCCGAACTCGTCGTCATTGCGAAGCTCGCGCATTGCACGAATTTTATCCTCGGCTCCTACCTCATCCGAATCAAGAAGCGCAGGAATAACCTAAATTTTAATAATTCTTCCAATATAAACTTTCTAAATTTTTCGGCATTTTCAAATTCAGGGTAAATACCAAATATTCACTTGTTCTTGCATGTATGCCGTAATCTTTCCAAGCCCAGTCATTGCTGTTGCATATGGATTGCCCATAAAACGCTAAAATGCTGACATATTGTTGGAATTTAAGAAGTTAAAAAATCTTTTCAACTCAATTAAAAACTTACACTCAAAATGTCGCTGTTATTATCCAAAGCAACAACGGATTTTGCTAAAATGTCCGCTTTTTCATCCACAACAAGCACAAGATTGGGATCTTTCGATGAGCGACGTAGTGTGATGTATCTAAAAGAAAAGAACTTTTGTTTCAATTTGGTCAGCCAGCTGTTTTGTGGTTGTCATGGCAAAAATTTTCAGAATAAAAGCATGCAAATTTTGAAAATTTGTACTAACTAAATGGGTAATAGAAAAAGTGAATGTCTACGTAATTTTTGCTACAATGAAAGTTATTCTTACTTTTGCAAACAATCAATGAATGCACTTGTAGAAGTTTGGCGAAAATATAGAGGCACTTGGCTTGAGCCATCCCTGCCTATGAGACGAATCATTGGATCACCTAAAAATGTTGTTGCACCCAGAATTTTATAATTAAAAAAACCTTTCTTCGGTTCAACGTGTTTAAAGCTGTTCAAATCATTGACATCCATCGAGAACTTCAATTTGTTTACATTTTCTCGAAATGATCTCTGAGGCGGTGAGGTGCTAACTAAGTTTGGTTTAACCTTTACAAAAAAAATGTACATACGCAACGCATTTTCGTCATTTCCATCGGCCAAAACCCATCCACTGACCGGGGAGTCTTCCGCTGGAGTCCATTCGATGAAAACACCTCTCGCCTAAACATTTCTTAATTTTGTAAAACAAAATTAAATTTTTGTTTTTACGTTAAACAACAAATAGCTAAAAAGTAGATGGGTAGCAACTCGTAAACTAGATTAAAAACAAAAAACTCACCTTCTCCACAACTTGAAGAACTCCCGAAACGTACGTCTCATCTTCATTGTTTTTTGCTCCGACAGCAGAAAGCCGCAGCACCACCTAAAATATTCTAGATCGCCCACTTAAGAAAAGAAGATACTTTATCATCATTTACAGATAACATACCACATCAGGCATTACAGATCGGCCGGCACTATTCGAAGTAGGCTCTTCCGCCATTTTCCTTCGATTTGCTTCGTTCCTCTTCTTCACGTATTGATAAGCTAATATGGGGATCATACGTTGCGAAGAAATATAAAACACAAAATTTGATTCAAAACTAAATTTAGAGCAGTTTTAGAATTGAAATCTCCGAGTCATAAGTTTCGCAATAAAAATACCGCATGTTCATGTCGAAAAAGCCACGGATAAAAATTGTTCTAGTTGCATCGCGTTCAGAACAGGAGTTAGCCTCAACCGCAAGAATCATTCAACGTTGTTAAAAACCATCGATAGGTAGGTATTCCTACACCGTGTCCATACAATAATTTGGCAAGCAAAAATTGTTTAAGATTTATTCAGACTAAAATTAAAAATAATGATTTAAATGTAGCCGAGTTGATCCCTTCCATTATGGTGCACCTAAAATATGACAATTTAACTTTTATTAAAGCAAGTAAGTTTACCGAACAAGCTTGTTGCTTTAGTTGCTAAACCGCCGCATGCACTTGACTCCATCAACGTTTTTTGCACAAACGAAAAATTGCGCATGCGCACTTTCTGTTGCCAGATCAGATGATACCATTCCAGAAGAATGTTCTCCATTGGAGCCTAAACAAAATTCATAATAAAGAAACTGTATTGAAAACGACCTGTGCAATAATGAAGTCACCCATCTCCGTCGGCACTGCAGTAGCATAATAGTACGGCTCATCTTTATCCCGAAAACGTTCATTTACCAGAATAAAAACAACAAAAGTTATTGTTCACTGAAAAACAAACCTTTTGGTGCTTAAGTAGAATGGCGCCTTCATTAAATACTAACAGGTTTTATATCGGTTTTTCTAAAAAGCAAATAAAAGAGCGTAAAAATTAAAACAAAAAATACCTGCAGAAAGCGGGAAAAGAACTACACGTGACGCTCTTGTCGCCTCGTCGCATCATGCCAGTAGTTTCGCCATCTTTGCGTTCGCCATCATCTTCACGAAGTGCTCTACATTGATGGCTCGATTTCTTGGCGCCCCTGAAAAGCGTAATTTAAAAATGAGTTACTGTATTTATTCAAATTGAAGAGCCCTCTCCAATAAAAGGACCCTTTGGAGGGGGGTTGAATAGAAGAGAAGAAGAAGAAGATAATAGAAGAACCGGCGGTACTATTGGCTTTGGGGGTACACTGCACAAAATTTAAATATTAATTTGATCAAACGAATGTAAATTTAGCGATATGTCGCAAATAGAAGAAATTCATGATCTTCAGTTAGTAGGTTGAAATTTCTAAATTTTGTCTGAAAATTGAGGTAATACGGTCACTTTGTTTTTGTTTTTAGCCTTTCCTTGTTATGGTTAGACATGGTCAAGAACAGGACAAAAGCGTCCCGTCGTGTCGCAGTAATTAGCGGTACATAGTACATGCAATACTTGCCCTGTCCCGAATCCCGTCTCAGCCCGTCCCGAGAAAAATATCGTCCCGGACCATGTCTAGTCGTGGTAGCTCATTAAATTTCTATCCATGTTGCGTTTTCCTGTTATCAAGATCCTCTACTACTATTCGTAACTCCCGTGCCACCCATTTCGCCCTTTATATGCATGCGTCGCTTTAAAACACGACCTTTTTGCAGTTTGTCACCACCGCTACTGTCATGCAAAAGTATTTCTCTCTTTTTCTCCTGTTCCGGAATTTTAGTCGCGAAGAAGAGGCTTTGAATTTTATCATTTTTAAGGCCGATTTCGCCTCTGAAATAATATTTATTGATTCGAATAGCTGAATTTAACGAATTCGTTGAGTCTTTATACATAGATTTTTGAGCAAAATTTCAGAATCTTCTAATCTTTTTGCTACTTAGTGCTTTCTTCAGTACTAGTGCACTTGGGGGTCACTTTTTTTCAAGGTTTTCACTTTTCTGGGGGTAACCGGTAGCGCTGATGCCGAAAATCGCATTTTAAAGTGTTTTTATCAGTGATCAAAAAACGAAAGATCAAAAATAGTCAGTGTTTTGATCGTGAATATTTGTCTTTAAAATGTTCAAAATTTGCATTTAAAATGACAGTTTGAAGTTTGTTTTTGACAACGTGAAATGTCTAATTTTTTATTGACAACCCACCTTAAAAATGTGATTTTCGGCATCAGCGCTATCGATTACTCGCAGGAAAGTGAAAACCTTGGAAAAAAAAGTGGGTCTCCAAGTGCACTAGTACCCTTTTTTCATTTCAGGAGTTTCAAATTTGAGCAAAGCGAATCGAAACCGAAAAAATGGCTGACGGACAAGGTTCAGGAGTTACTACACAACAATCTACTCGTCGTGGAGTGGTTAAACAGGTGAGGATTTTCTTTTGGTTTGTATGTCCGTGCTGTCCACTACAGGAAGAAATTTAAATTTGTCATTAAATCAATGAGTTTAGGTGTTATCTGGTGATGCTATTGTCTTGCAAGGTCAAACAACTCAAGGACCACCTCCAGAAGCTACTGTATATCTCTCCAATGTGACAGCTCCTCGTCTTGGAAAGCGACCAACGGAAACGGTCACAGCTACACCCGATGAACCGTTTGCCTGGGAAGCTCGCGAATGGCTGCGCAAAAAACTCGTCGGACAAGTTGTCACTTTTGGTTTGGATTAGAGTTCACTCATTTTCAAAAACTATCTTTTAGTGAAAGATTTTACTGCTTCTTCTGGACGAGACCATGGCCGTGTGTATCTTGGAGGCACAAGTCTGTTTCATCTAAGCGTGTTGAGTCATTTAGTTTGTTTTAGACCCAGACAACGCGGAAAATGTTGCAAAAAGTGCTGTTGCTGAAGGTCTACTCGAAGTCCGAACTGGAAAGATTTCTGATGAGTACACGCAAGAGTTAATGGCTCTCCAAGAAGAAGCCAAAGCTGGCCACAGAGGGCGATGGGCGGAGAATGCCAACAAATCCAGAGAAGTAAAGCTAAAAATTATGATTTACAAATGAAACAAATTATAGGTCACATGGGTAATTGATAATCCGAGATCACTGGTCGAAAAATATCACCAAAAGCCAATTGATGCTGTGATTGAAATGGTATGGTTTTTTAAACTGACAATGAGTCAAATGCCAAGCTACATGTTTAAGGTTCGTGACGGGTCAACCTACCGGTTAATGCTCTTGCCATCTTTTGAATATATCACTTTGCAATTATCGGGTGTCAAATCACCATCAACTCGTGGATCTGACAGCAAACCAGAACCATTTGCCAACGAAGCAAAGTTTTTCGTTGAAGTTCGACTACTCCAGCGAGATATTCAGGTTTTTATTGAGAGATCAACAAAAAATATTGAAATTAGGTTGTGCTTGAATCAACTTCCAATCAGAATCTTGTTGGTTCCGTTTTGCATCCAAAAGGAAACATTGCTGAATCGCTTCTGAGGGAAGGTTACGCTAAGTGTGTTGACTGGTCAATCGGACTCTGCACGGGAGGAGCTGAAAAGCTACGAACGGCCGAGAAGCAAGCCAAAGAAAGTCGACTACGCTTGTGGCGTGCTTATGCACCAAGCTCTTCGAATGGTCTCTCCGAAGAGAAAGAAGTCGTTCTCTGGAAAGGTTAGTTGCTTTATCATCTTAAAAGACTACCTTTTCTTTTAGGTTGTCGAAGTTGTTATGAATGATTCAATTGTTGTACTAAAAGACGATGGGAAAGAAATCAAAATTCATCTGTCGAGTGTCAGGCTACCTAGGTAAATTTGCCTGTGATAATAGGAGTACTTTCTGTTTAGGGAACAAGGTGAAGAAGGGGCTGCTCGTCCGCCGGTTGGCCGTCAATTCAGGCCACTCTACGATATTCCTTTCATGTTCCAGGCCAGAGAATTTTTGCGCAAGAGGTATTTTCACGCGGTAAATAAAGTTATAAAATAAATTTAGATTGATTGGAAAAGTGGTAAATGTGACTGTTGACTACATCCAACCCAAATCTGAGCAGTATCCAGAAAAGATTTGTTGCACCGTCAAGCAGGTAGAACTTATTGGTTATATAAAAAATATGGGTTTTTTTTTTCAGGGAGATACAAATATTGGTGAGGCATTGATTCAACGAGGACTTTCCAAAGTTGTTCGCCACCGTTCTGATGATGAAAATCGTTCTTCTACTTACGATGCTTTGCTGGCAGCTGAGGCGACGGCTGAGAAAAGCAAGAAGGGTCTATATGCTGAAAAGGTAGTAATTTCTTTGAGAACCCCTCATAAATAAGGGATTTTCGGAAAAATTGTTATAGTGGATATTTTAGAGTGCTGATCGTAAAGATACGCAAAGAATACAAGAACTAGCTGGAGACGCAGCTCGCTCGAAACAATTTTTGCCATATTTGCAAAGAGGTGGACGAAACGAAGGAGTTGTTGAGTTCATTGCTTCGGGATCGAGACTACGGTAATAAGTCTTTATTGAATGTTATTCAACGAAGTTTTAGAATCTATGTACCAAAGGAAACTTGTCTCGTCACTTTCTTGCTTGGTGGTATCAATTGTCCGAAAGGCGCTCGCCCTGGTGGACCAACCACGGAAAGCGAACCCTACCACGCGGAGGCATATCAGTTTACACGAAACTTAGTCATGCAACACGAGGTATTTTTAGTTAATGTAATTTCATTATCGTTGTTTAAGGTTGATTTTGAAGTGGAGGGAATTGATAAGATGGGCAACTTCATTGGCTACCTCTTTGTTCGACAACCTGAAGGAGGGCGTCCACAAAATTTGAGCGAACTTCTCGTCGAACAAGGGTTGGCTACGGTGAGGAATAAAAATTTTTCGATTCTTTATAATTTTAATATTTAGGTGCATCATTTTTCTGCCGAGAAGAGTGGTCATTACAATTCGCTGGTCTCCGCGGAAATTCGCGCTAAAAATGCTAGACGAAACCTGTGGGCTAACTTCAAGGAGGAAGCTGAAGATGAAGAGCGCAAGCAACAGGCTGATGATAAGAGCGAACGAGTAGTAGAGTACAAAAAGGTGAATTAACTTACTTTATTTGAAGATTTACTGTTGTTATAGGTTGCGATTACTGATGTGCAGCGTGGCAATTTTAAATTCTCAGCACAGCTCATTGGAGATGGTCCTAAATTGGAGAAGTTGATGGGAGAGCTCCGAGAATACTTGCAATCTAACCCTCCTATGACTGGTGCCTATCATCCTAAACGGTATTGCATTTTCTCTCAAAGGAACGCAAGTTTCTTTTAGCGGAGAGCTTTGTGTGTCGAAATTCTCATTCGACAACCAATGGTATCGAGCGAAGGTGGAGTCAATCAAGGCTGGAACTGCCGAAGTTCTATACGTTGATTATGGTAAAATTAAACGTTGCGTCCTAATTTAATATTCACTTACAGGTAACCGGGAGACAGTGCAAGCCAACTTACTTGGTGCTCTTCCTCGAGAGTTTGCAACTTCGGCTCCATTCGCTAAAGAATATGCCTTGGCTTTGACCCATATTCCTAATGACAAGGTCAGTTGTGATTCTACTAACGGTTGTAATTTTTCTATTTAGGATTATGCTGCTTCATCGGATCAAGCTTTGGAACAAGTTCTTTTCTCCGTTTCAACGGCAGATCTAAATGTTGAATACCGTGCAACTGGCACCGAGTACGCTCAAGTTTTGATCGAGATTGACGGAAAGAAGACCGACGTCGGTCGACTTCTTGTTGAAGATGGTTATGCTCTGGCGGAGAAGAGAAGGGAGCATCGTTTGCAGCAACTTGTGAATGACTATCAGGTATTTTACAATGTCATCGCGGTTGGTTCATAACAAATTATTTTAGGAGGCAGAGAAAAAGGCACGCAGAGAACGCCGCAACATTTGGGAATATGGTGACTTTACTGGCTCGGAAATCTAACTTATCATTATGTCCTTTGAATTTCTTTTCATAATTTGCACTAGTATTTTTTGTGAATAGATTTTCATTCCGGTATCTGGTCAGTGTTACCGACTGTGTTACTTTTATCTTTCGTTATTGTATATGTATTGTTTTGATTTAAGTAAATTATTGTTTTGGCGCTTTTTGACAATAAAGGGGCTTTTATCGTAAATATCTTCAAAGAATTTGTTGTAACGCGACATGCACAAGTATCAGAAAAAAGTAATTGGTTTTAAATGAATTTAAAATAGATTTGAACGTTCTCGAAAGAAGCTGTTAATTGATAGCACTGTTTTTCTTGTTCGTATTTTGTTTTATAGATGGGTCGTCATAAGGCAGGCCCGTTTGGGCAATCCAATCATAAACACAAAACTGGTGGTCATCGCCCCAAAGGAACAATCAACAAAGAGAGTCGAGGTAATGAGGTTTTCGTATTCTTGTCAGTTCTTACGTTCACTTGACTAACTTAAGCGTAATTTAAAACGCTCTAGAATACTTGCTGACTTTAGGGCGGAAGATTTCTCAGCAGGGGTCGGTTTCTGGTTCAATCGGTACCAAACTTTCGAAAGATGCTCGCAAGTGCAAGGTAAACGTTTGGCAGAAACGAGTGCCTATTATTCATTTGAGGCTAGCCAAATACGTCGTCGAAAAGTGGAAGCTGATTCAAAAGTTAAAGAATCTTTGGGAAGAGATGATAAACCGCCCGTGCTCGTTGTAGGTTTTTGATTGCTATGTTATGGTTGTAAACTAGGATATCAGCATTTTTTTTTGCTTTAGTCTTTGGTAACTTTGGGAGGAACAACGCCTGCAAACGAACTGATTCAACATCTATCCACTGTTGATGAGACGATAACATCTACTAAATTGGGACTAGCGCAGTATTTCCGGTTAGTTTAATGTAGTTAAACTTTTGAAAATTAATTTAGGATACCGCGTCTTAAAATGAGGCTTGGCTTCCTGTCTCCATCTACAGAAATCTTAGAAGATGTCCTAAATTCGTTAAAAGTGGGTGGCTTAGTTTCATATTTTTTTCTTAATATTATATGGTTTAGGTTACTGATGTCGTTTGTCTAGTGTGGCCGATGTCAGGGGAACTGTCTCCCAAAGAAGAGCTTTTAATATCGTCAATGTTGGCTCATGGGATCCCAACAACCATCAATCTCGTGTTCAATAACGAGAAGCAATTATCAGCGAAGCAACGTGATCTTCAATGGAATAATCTTAAGAAAACGATAGGAAGATAGTAAGCTCGAAAATCCAGAAACAAAATATTATGCGAATTAAGCTCGATTCCAATGGAGAAGCTTTTAAAGATGGAAACCCCGAGCGATGGGTTAAAACTGCTGCGTTTGTTGGTAGACTGCAAGAAGAAAAAGCTACTTGTTCAACAGCGACACGCTCATATGCTTGTCGAACGTTTGAGCACGGATAATGCTAATGTAAAAACTCACTGGTTATCATAAATTGTTTATCTTAGGAGAACAAAGGCGTTTGCACGCTCCTTGCTTCTGGCTATGTGCGTGGGCTTGCGTGGAACGTCAATAATTTGGTTCACTTGCCAGGGCTTGGCGAGTTCCAAGTCAGTCAATACTCTTATTCTAAGAATCGAAAAATTGTTTAGGTCTCGCAAATCTATCGTCATGAAGATCCTATAACCGTGAAAGGAAATGAGGTGAGTTTTACAATTTACGGCCTTGATGAGATAAAAATTAGAAACCGATTGACCAAAATGGACAACTTGTCGCGGAAGCTCAGCCTACAAAGCAAGAAAGTCTACAAGTTTGTAAGCATTTGCGATGCCACTTTTTTGAGGGTTTAGGCAGAGATCATTCCGGATCCAAACGAAGGAGAACAAATATTGTTGGATGAAGATCTAAAGCGAAAAGAAGAGGATTGTAAGATTTTGTTGATCTGCACTATCTATTTTTGCTTTAGTATTTGTGGCTCCAGAGAAAAAGAAATTGCCAAAAGGTACCTCTTCATATCAAGCAGCTTGGATTTTGGAAAGCGATGAAGAAGAACGGGAAGGAAGTGAAGACGAAGACGAAGATGAGGAAAACGAAGATCAAGTAAGGTGTATTTTTTTTATCCAAACGTCGCTTTGTTCTAGGATTCTGAAGCCGATCAAATCAACGACGATGTTGATTTAAAATCGGGTGATGAAAGTGATGTTGCTGAGGAAAGGGTATGCACGTGTCATATTGAACAAATTACACTTACACGTAATACAGGAGCCTATGGAGGATGATGTTGCGGAGACGGAATTGGGTGACGATGAGAACAATGAGATCGATATGGATGAAGCTGCGGAGTTTTCACGGCAACGACAAAATGAACGGTGGCCAGATGAAATTGATACGCCAATGGACACACCCGCTCATATTCGTTTCCAAAAGTATCGCGGATTAAAGAGCTTCAAGTTTGTTTGCTTTGCTGTTGACTCTAACAATAACTTACAGAAACTCACCTTGGGATGCGAATGAGAACTTACCATACAACTATGCGCGTATCTTCAAATTCCACAACTTTAATAAAACAAAAAAGAATGTTTTGAAGGTTAGCTTCTGCTGATGTTCAACAACCCGTTCGTTTAGAATTCCAAGCACGATGAAGTGGGTGAAACTGTTTTACCGGGAAAGTTCATCACTCTTCGCATTGAAGCAGTCCCAATTAGCTACTTGGGTCAGTAAATTTTTGCTACAGCATAGATAACTTTATTCTAGCAACAATTCGTGAAGAGGCTCCACTTGTTCTTTATTCTCTATTGCCTCATGAGCAGAAAATGTCGGTGAGTACTTTTAATTTGTTAATTTCATGAGAGGATTTAATAAGTAGAAGATAAATTTAGGTAGTCAACATGGTGATTCGGAAACATCCTTCTTGCAAAACGCCTATCTTGAACAATAGCGAACTCTTGTTTTATGTTGGATTTAGGTAAAGCGTTATTTTCACATACCTTATAGTTTAGTGCTCACTTGAAAGCTTGAAAAATTTTTTTTAGAAAGTTCGAGGCACAAGCTCTTTTTAGTCAACATGGATTGGGGGATAAATTCAAGGTATTGGTATTGTTATGCTTTTGATTGCATAAAGCTTTGTAGATGGAACGCTATTTACCCACAACTGGACCATGTGTTGCGACCGTGTTTGCACCAATTACTTATCCGCCAGCTACAGTGTTAGTCTTTCACAAGACGCCAGATGGTAACCAGGTAGTTACCTTTTTTTTTACCTTTTTTACTAATTTCTAATTTAGCAACTGGCTGCTACGGGTTTGCTTCTTGACAACAATCCTGACCGGATAGTCTTGAAAAGAATTGTTCTTTCCGGACATCCTTTTAAAATCAATAAGCGCTCGGCTATCGTCCGCTACATGTTCTTCAGTAGAGGTGCTGTGTTTCGAGATTCAAATTAATCGTAGAATTTAGATGATGTTGAATGGTTCAAGCCAGTGGAACTGCACACCCCTTCTGGTCGCCGAGGACACATAAAAATGGCAATCGGTAATTATAGATTCCCCTTCTGGCTTGAAACTTAATTCAGGTACTCATGGCCATATGAAATGTCGTTTCGATCAACAGCTTAACGCACAAGATGCCGTCATGATGAACCTCTACAAGAGGGTGTTCCCAAAATGGAGTTATTCGGCCTATCTGTCAAATGATCGACCTAAAACGGTATTTTGAATGACAATGGGTAGATTTAACCGCTACTTGCTTTTAGACTACTTCAAAGAAGGAAGTCGTTGCTGCTATGGAAGAATGATTGATTTGTTTTTGTTTGTTGAGTTCTGTTAACATTGTTGTTTTGATTTTATTGTTGATTTTATAAAGTTTATAGTTTTGTCGCTCTTGTAAATACGAAGACACGTACCTCTAGCCAGAAAGAAATTGGGGAAAAATAAGTGAATAAGGGTTTGGCTTGTGAACAGTGAATTGGCTCAAAACCACTTTCTATGGCTTTATTATGGATCTAATGGGCACGTAAAACACAGAAAGAACTATTTAACGCGCCGGAAACCTGTTTTTTTAAATAAAACAAAAGTTATTAACGTGTGTAGTACATACTGATGGCTTTGGTTTACGTCATAAAAATTTGCAAACAGCCATGAATTTTGAGGCACCAGCGTAGTGGAGCGAAGCATTGCTGGTGATTTTCTAGTTGCGCTGATCGGTCGATTCGGTTTTGTTACCATCTTTCTTTTTCTATCTCGTTCTCCCTTTTTTTTTTATTTTTCCCATAAAATATGTTCCGGTTCAAAAATCGGATCTCCCAAATCCTAGCTTCCCAAGTTTGTTAGGAACAGCTTATATGTCGCTTGTAAAATTCTATTCGATAAAATTTTTAAACTCCTAAACACATGACATTTATTAGAAAACCATACAAGAACAGTAATTCGTGTAATTCAATGATGGCACAGGCAGAAGTTACGGGTTAGTCCAAAACATGCCTTATACATCCCTACTGAAAACACAATCCCAAGCAAGAAAAAAAAGACACGTATAAAACCGGGAAAATAAAACAATTACAGAAAAGGGTAACGGGGTTATCACAAGTCCCAGACGGAGATTAGAGATCATGCAATAAAATTGTTAACAGTTATGATAAAAAGATATGCAATTATGATTTGCTTCATTTTTATGCATTCATTTTGTTGAGAAGAGTGGGCCATCAAGAAAACCTAAATTTAGAGAATTACGCACGAAAATTGTCCCTAGCATTGAACCATTATGTAGTTTACATTCGAAAATATCCAAGAATGAATATGATTCTAGCATTTCATTTCCTCGCCCGATGGAACAAACAAAACAAGGTATTTTAATAATTTTATAAGCTAGAGAACTTTTAATTACTCGTTCAGGTAGAGCTTCTGAGATCGAGGCCAAAAGATGGGCTGCACTCATTCAGAGCTTTCACGATCTCCCAATAAATGAGACAAAAAACAACGGACCATTGTTGATAGAGGTCAGTTTTTCAACCATAATGAATTAAAAAACCAAAATCTACCGTATTGGAAGCGTGGCTAACCCATTCGACACTTTTGATAGGGCTCAGGGGTCGTCCGCGTGTTGGTGAGCTGATGATTTTGATTGTTGTTTCTCTCGCGAACCCCTGCATAATAGGTCTGGAAGGCTTGCTCTTGTTGAATGTCAAAACGGCGAATTGGTGGCCGAGGAGTATTGTTGGCAGCAGCACGTGGTACAATCTCAAGTTAACGTAAAAAAATGCAAAATGAGTAGAAAGAGTACCGCGTTTGGCGCGGCAACGGTACGCTTCTGCGGGGTTTGCACATTCATCTGCTGATAGTTTGGCCGTGGAGTGCCACTTTGAGGAAAGTAAAAGCCCTATAAAGAAATAATTTCTTTAATTGCTAATAGGTTGCAACCTTTCCTTCACTTTCAATCAGGTCTTTTCCTGCGGCAATCCAGGGCAAAGCGAGAGCCTCGGTTATCGTGCACCTAGAAATATCAAAGTATTCTTAAGTCGATGTGGAAACTCACCTCTTATTGGGCTCAAACGTTAAGATGTGGTCAATAGTTTCTTTGCAGGCATGAGATATGGGCACGGTTCTTGGAAAGTGATACTGGCGATTCCTAAACACACCTTCGTTTTAAAAATAAATGCAAAAAACTTTTGGATTTCGACAATCTTGTGATTCGACATGTCCTCCCGGTAGGGCATCGTGTCAGTGCAGATCACAAACGCCACTACACCAACAGACCTAAAATGAGCAATAAGGGCAATAAATTCACAGATCTCACCAAACATCGGCTTTGAAAGCATTGTAAGCTTGTCCCAGAAGAATCTAAATTTTATCGGTTAGTAAAAACAATACACACAGCAACGACAAATTAACATAATATAATATAATACAGAGAAATAACTAACATAATATACTTAAGAAATACCATAATTATATTAACCAACACACCTCCGGAGCCGAATACGACCTTGATCCGCAGAATGTATGTGAGAACTCGTTTTTCACCTTAATTTAATAATACAAGAACATTAAAGATAATCTCACTTGTCGCGAGAATCCAAAATCAGCAATCTTGACGCTTTTTCCAAAGATGATGATGTTCTCGAGCTTGAGGTCACGATGAGCAATATCTCGTCCATGCAGGTAGGCGACAGCTGAGCAAATCTGAATCAAAACATAGACAGCCTAGACATAAGAGAGCTCACCTCATAAATCCAGCGTTGAGCTTGAAACTCGGGTACTGGTCCGTTTCGCTGGACATGGCTCAGCTAAATCAAAGCATTCAACAGCTAATTGTATTTGGCAAACCATATCTCCGCCAGCCCCATACTCCATCACAAGAAACACGTATCCGATGAGTTTCGATTCGTAATGACTGCAGAGGCGCACAATGTTTCGATGCTCCAACATCTTCCAGCAGACTAAATTCAATGTATTAACTATAGCACAACACTAGCTTTACCTATCTCACGCGGCAAGAACTTATTCCGGAAATCGGGCGTCACTTTGTTTTTGTTGATCATCTTGATAGCAATCTATAAGGAAAATTTGAACCGTCCAACAAGGAAAAAAATACCGTGGCTCCTGAGTAAATCTGAGCCGTTATCACTTTGCTATAGCGTCCACTTCCTAATTTCACTGAGTGATCCAACGAGATGCCCTTGTCGGCGAAAAGCTTCTTGATGATCGTATTTGGATCATTTGGTGGAACCGATGAGACGAGCTAAAGAAGAACGTAATTAACATTCAAGCTTTTATAAAAAAATAAGATAAACAGGCCGATTTAAAGGACAAAGCTTGTACCTGATTTGGCTTTTGTTGCTCTTGGAAATCATATGGCGATCGTGTGTAGTTTTGAGGCGGATATGGAGAAGCATGAGGAGCAGCGCCGTAGCCAATCGAGCCTGGTCGGCCCTGTTGAGCAGTGTAGTAGCGATTGAGGTGCACGATGGGGCCGGTTGAGGGAATTGTTGGATTGCTCTGTTGCCAATTTAACTCTCGACGAACAGTCGGAGTCGACGCGTGATAACGATGCAGAGATGATGGATCGGGATAATTGTTGTTTTGGTCTTTCACGGCATTCCGATTGTGCACATGATCTAAGATGGAAAAAATTGATCCTTTTCACAGTTTTCATTTACGAGTAGCAACAGCAACGATGCACTAATCAAAGCAAAAGAACTCTTGTTAACACAATAGCAAATGCTTTTGTTCAGTACTTTTCTAAATCTTGCAATTCTTCTATTGTATTTCATGTAGTAAACTTTTAGCTAGTGCCACCCTTTTATTGGGTCAATGCATATGAAATAGCTAATCCATGGAAATTTCTCCACCAAAGCGGCTATCTAATTCCTGTTTGGTTAGAATTGAAAGTTATAATCTTAAGCCAATAACAGCGGGGCAACTTTTTTTTATTTGACATGAAATGATGGAGAAACTTTTCGATCAACTCAACTTTGATGTTCTTTTGAACCAAAGTTCTATTAGCATGATATTTTTTTAATCAACATGCTTTCAGTCAACAATCAAAGATTTCAGTGAATTTTTATCAATATGTTTTTTGAGTTCTGAAAACAATTTGAAGCGATAAAGCCTGGGATTTCTTAATGAAAAAGCTTTTTATTGAAAACGCTCATGAAAATCATGATTGCTTGCAATAGTTTTTTTCCAAAGCTGGAATCTTTGATCAAAAAGCTGACTATTGCATAACTTTTCACTAGCAACAAATCATAAAAGAACTTTTTGGAGTTTGGTGATTGGTTGGGGAAATCTGGGAAAAATTTAGCCATTTCAAGCATTGACCCAATAATTGTTTCTAGTAGATCGTAGCTTCTTTTTATGAAAGCAAAATCAAAAAACTTCAAATCTATACCTCCCGATCGACCGTTGTAGCTTTTCGGCGTCAGAGTTTGCCCATTGTTCGTATGGTCACCACGGTACATCGAATGCCTCACTCCCTAAACAAAAACACGTTGAAGTCGCCCGTGAAAAGTGAAATCGATCGAACAATGAGTCAACAAAGCAGAAAAACAAGAAAAGTAATAAAAAAACTTACTGCAAGAAATTTGGCAAATGAAAAGAATGAAAAAAATTTAGCATCGCTCGCCGTTTAGGAGGCTTTATGCAAATTTTATGCAAATTTTAGGATCAGCTCGAGATTCACATCGATCCATCGAGTTTATTTGCGAAAAGGGAGTTGAACACTTTGGACAAATGCATTCTAACATTTTCAACTCTGGGATTGGAGGTGAGTCTTTGTATTGAAAGATATTTTCTAAAATTTCAGGCGGATCGCCTCATCAACGAGGCAATCAACGTGCACTTTCCGGCGATTTTGCTCTACGAAGAGAATGGTAGCGTTTGAATGAAAAATACAGATATTTAGTTAATCTAAGTGCTATTTCAAAGGCAATTTTCCATTCCAGATCAAATAAGCCAGGTTCTGGCAGGTTTCTAGGCTTACCTGGTCTAGCTTTACAGGTCTGGTCTACAACAAGTTCTTGTTGCTTTTGTTCAGAAGCCAGGCCTGGATTTGACTTCCGGGTCAAGCTCCGGTCAGGGTTGAAACACTTGAGCCATCTAACATCGGATTTACCAGATTATTCGGTTTACTGTACTGGAGCTTGGAGTTGCACGGTACTAATAAAGTTCGAGGAGGGCACTTTGACTAGACTTGGGAGTGGGACAAATGCGACCTTTTTTTTGCGCACCTCTTTTTCCGCACTTAGCCTATTAGCGCACCTTTTTTCGCGTTTTAAAAAAAGCTCTAAAAAGCTAATATTAACCAATTTCTATTCCAAAAGTTGTTTTTCTAGGTAATTTTAGGGCGTAGAATCGAAATTTTGACATATCAGAGCTTGTGGAAGCGAACGGACGGAGTTATACAAAGAGAAAAATCGACAATTTTCTGTAATTTGATCTAGTCGTTTTGTCTTTCAAATTGGTTCCACACACTCTGTTATGTCAAAATTTGAATTCGACACCCTCAAATTACCTAGAAAAACAACTTTTGGAATAGAAATTGGTTAATATTAGCTTTTAGAGCTTTTTTAAAACGCGAAAAAAGGTGCGCTAATAGGTTAAGTGCGGAAAAAGAGGTGCGCAAAAAAAAGGTCGCATTTGTCCCACTCCCCTAGACTTTGACTATTTTACGCGTGTTTTTTTCTAGTTTGGTTTTGCATTTTCTGGGGTAATATTTGGGGTAATAAAATACGCCTAATCTATTGGTGATATTTTTAGTGTATTTTGAATAAGTTTTAACCTTGTATTTCACCCCTGACCGCATTTTCTAGTGTTGCGGCACTGCAACAGTTATACTTCTGCTAGCTCAACAAAACATTAACAAAGAGTGTTTAAAACTTTCTAAAAATATCATCAATAGATCCAACATGTTTGATTATCCCAAAAAAAAATGAAATAACATTGGTAAAACGGCCGAAAAATACGATCTGACCAAATCAGATCAAACTTTATTAATACCGAATATCTTGTTAAAATAAAAAACTATTAGGTGTGAAAAAGTAATCCACGTTTTTAACGTTTAAATATAAAAGACCATAAGTTCCGTTAAAATAATTTTTATTCAACGAAGTAATCACCATTCGAAAGAACAACCTTTTGCCAACGTTCTACAAGTAAAGACATTCCACGATAATAAAAATCTTGGTCCGTAGAGGCGAAGAAAAGATCAACCTCGGTTTTGACATCTTCTTCGGAATTGAACCGTTTATTGGCCAAAAAGTTAGACAGAGACAAAAATAAATAATAATCAGATGGAGAAAGGTCTGGACTATAAGGTGGATGTGGTAAAACCTTCCATCCAACACTCTGGATTTTTTTGTCGAGTCTGTAAAGAGACATGTGGTCGCGCGTTATCGTTCATGCGATATCCATTTGTCCAACTTTTTGATAAAATTCATGGCATTCAAGCGTTTCCTTACGGTTGACCCATCACAATTTAATGTAAGGCCTATTTCTGAAGAGGTTGAACGAGGGTTTTCGAGAAGACAGCGTCTCATTTGGTCATCAGATAAAAATAAAAAACGTGGATTACTTTTTCACACACCTAATATCATAATCAAAAAAACTATCATAATCAAAAAAACTATCGTAAATCTCCCAAACTTTATTAGTACCAGTTGCACTGTTATTTTTATGAATGTAGATCTCGCTCAAAGCGCGGTGATCTCTCAGATCGGCTTCTTCCTCCCAACCCTCAACAATTTCGCGCAATTCTTGGGAAACGTTTTACAAGTATAGTTTGACTATTTTTGTGTACGAATCTCTTTAAGGTTTTTCGAAATCTCCTTCAACAAATCCGGGCTTTCTACTCATTGAGGTTTAAAGAGAAATGGGATTCTCGATGAAAAAAAACTTTCAGTAATACCGAATTGCAAAAAGTCGGCGATTGGACACTGACGAGAAGTTGGCGGACACTTGGCGATTTGTTGTCGATTTTGATGCAGGTGAGATAAAAGTACTGTAGCAGTGAGATATTGTAGCCAGCAGTACTGAGCAGTACAGCAGCAGTGAGATATTGTAGCCAGCAGTACTGAGCAGTACAGCAGCAGTGAGATATTGTAGCCAGCAGTACTGAGCAGTACAGCAGCAGTGAGATATTGTAGCCAGCAGTACTGTAGCCAGGAGTACTGTAAAGACTAGTGAAAGAGTACTACATCTGAGAGTGCTGTAAGAAAGGCACTGTAATTCAGTTAAGAATTGTAATGTCCCATAGGGTACTGTAGCAGTGAGATATTGTAGCCAGAAGTACTGTAAAGACCCACTTTAACTTCCTAAGTTACTTCATCTTCACAAGCAGACTCAAATGCAAACTTGCAAAGCATTTTTTTTCAGACCGACGAGATTCTCCTCAATCACGACGCTCTGAAACGTGACTGGAACCTCTACAGAAAGTAAGTAAAAAGTTTATCGCAAGAAAACATTTTGAAAAATCACAAATTTCCTATCCCTTCTGTTGAATTTGTTGAATTTGTCGAGTTTCTAAAGTTTTTTTTAAAATTCTTCATAAATCACTTTCAATTCTCACCGATCGATCACTTGACAAATGTGCACATTTTCGCACAATTCTTGTCCATAGCCTATCAAAGTATCGAAAATATTCGGTTCTGTTGAATTTTCTAAAAAAAAAATTTGAATGGAAATAGCTTTACTCAAATGCAAGATCGAATACTATCAAGAATTTAAGCAATTTTTCTAGTTCTTTCAATTAATCCGTTTTTCTAAAGCGTGTCAACTTTTGAAAAGTATCGTAATCATGTCTATAGTGCGCTTCTCTTGACTTTTTTTTCTTTTTTTCATTTTCCTTTTAGAAAATTACCATCCAAGCCATCAGTTTTCACTTGATCAGCTGAATTTTGATATTATTTGATGAGGAAGGGGGTGGGACAAATGCGACGTTTTTTTTGCGCACCTGGACATTTGCGCACCTTTTTTTTGCTGGAAAAGGCCTTAGACAAGGCCGTAGAGCTTCAAAAATGTTTCCAAATCAGGGAATCGTATGCGTAGATTCCGAATTTCGACAAATCACACCTCGCTGACACGTCAAATTTGGGCTAAAAGGCAAAAACTGCGGAAAAGCGTTAAATTGCGTAGTTTTTGCCTTTTAGCCCAAATTTGACGTGTCAGCGAGGTCTGATTTGTCGAAATTCGGAATCTACGCATACGATTCCCTTATGTGGAAATATTTTTGAAGCTCTACGACCTTTTCCAGCAAAAAAAAGGTCGCATTTGTCCCACCCCCATGCCCCATGAGGAATCACAAAGCTCAATTAATAATACCAAAATTGAGTTGATTGAATGGAAAATAGCCATAGATTTCGATAGTTTTACTAAAATCTTTTAGTCTTTTAGAAAACACACTTTAGCATTATCATATCTAAACAGATTTATTTCCGTAATTTTTGAAAGTTGACACATTTTAGAAAACCTTTTAGCAAAAACCCTTACCAAATTGATCAAACGGACTCTTCTGTGCTCGATATCTCGTTTTCATCTCATAGTCAGCTATCAGAATTACCAAAATAATAGAATAGACAATTAGCGCCAAAATACAAAACACCGTTCCCCAGCGACACATTTCTAACTCATAAGGGAAAAGTTGTTGAGTGAATCGATATGAAATTATATTTTTTGTGATACTCAACTCAAAACGAGTCGATTCCCTTTTGTCCCAATCAAAAATTGTATGCGAGTGAGGGGGGAAGGGATTGTCTCTCAAAATTGTCAACTCTTTTTTTGAGTCATTCGAGATAATTGGGTGCGTGTGTAGTCAACCAAGTGGTCATCATAACGAATGGGTGGTCTGATTTTACACTGTTATCCGTTATCCGTTATCCGTTTTTCATAATCTGATATTTCCCTACTGTTTTCTAATATTTTTCTAATACTTTTTGAAGTCAATTTCTCTAAACGCTGTATTTTTAGATCACTAGAAACCGCTCAACACAACCCATCGCAATTTGATGTGAGTGTCGATGAGTTGCGACCTCTCTTGATCGCTCTCACCACAATCGATGCCCAGTTGATGCATGGAGATGCGCTCAGGGTTGGTTTTAATATTTTTTTTGTACTTATGAATATATTAAGCTGACCGATTAGTTCGTAGAATTTTTTTAATCAACTTTTAAAGTATAATTTCTCAAAAAGCCCACCATCAATTTTTCTAAAAATTTTGCAGCAAATATACCTATCATTGAAAAGGTTTTTGCCAAAATATGAGACTAATCGTACGGCTATTTTCGAAGATTTCATTAGTTGATTGGTTCCGGGCGCCTTTTGAGGGAGCTGTCTTCAGTCGAACTTTCCATAGTTTAAGTTTAAGTTAAGTAGTTCTTTTTAAGTTTTACTAGCTTTGCAATAATAAGATGAAAGTTTAGAACTGTTATGAGCAAAGTTTCGGCGAATTGGATGACGATCAGAAGTTCCGGGATCGGATGAAAAGCTCAATCATTGACATGTACTCGCAATGGGAAGCCACAGCTGGTATGAAACTTTTAAAATAACATAAAACTTATCATAACTTTTTTTTTGTGCCACTGAATCCGATAGCTTATTCAATATTCTAGTAGCCGATGTGCCGGACAAACGCCAGCTCACATCATTGATCTGTCTCGGCGTCTTTTATCATCTCCATTTCGGTGGAAAGGACAAGAAAGTCGTGAAAACTTTGTGGAACAGTCACAAAAAGGTAAAGAGATTTTATTGGACAAGACCAAACCGATAAACTTGTCCTCAATTTTTATTCTGTAACAGATTTACATAATTTAGATCTAATAAAAAGTAAGAGACATTTGCAGAACTATCTTACTTTTCAGATTGTGGCCTTTCACCTCATCGGGAATATCGTTTGGCTTCCTTGCTGGTTCATTTTAAGGGAAATTCCAGAAATGCGGAGTCTCGTCGACAAGAAAAGTCTTCAATTCGTGCAAACAACCAAGTAAAAAGATTTGATATAGAATAATAGATGAAAAGTTTAATTTTTAAACCAGCCGAAATTTTAGGGAGTCTCTCTACAAAGAGCAGAGCTCAGGAATGATCGCCGAGGCGCACGCGATGTGCACCGATTGTGAAGCCTGGGAGGCCGATTTTCGGGTAAAATTTGAGATATTTAAAAACTACAGTAGCTAGATATAGGTTCAGATAAATTGAATATCTAAATCAATTCTGTATCAAAAAAATTTTCAGTTACAACTCGAGCCAAACGGAAGACATTCGACGAGGCACGCCGCTGACTGTATCAAGCTGGCCGATCTTGTTTTAAAGGTAAAAGTTAATTGCTAGATTTAGATAAAGGTAGATAAAGTATTAGATAAAGTATTAGATTTTAAATATTAGTTAATTAATTTTCAATTCAAAACTTAATCCTAAACTTTTCAGGGTGCTCGTTTATGCGACACAATGTGTCGCCTCTTGCGCACCGTGCTCCATAGTGAAGCGAAAGAGAAACGAATGACGAAAAGCGATTCGATCAAAATATTTCAAGTTATACAATCTATCAAGGTACAAAATTCGTAAGTTTTTTTATCATTCTTGATCATTTTTCAGTCAATCGCTCGTCTTTTCACCAAAAAATGGTCGATTGTGTTGGAGGTGTGTCAAATGGCCGCACATCAATACCGGTAACTTTGATAAAATACGTCTTTGATAGTTAATCTTAATAAAATCCATTGATAAACGATAATCTTTGAATCTTTTTAAAGCCACTGACAAATTTTCGGAAGAATCTGTCTTGAATATTATGTCATTTAATTCAGCACAAATTAGGATCTTAATGAGATGCTGTATGTCTATTAAATGATGATTTAACAATAGACAAATCGTTTTTTTTTAAATTTTTCATTCTTTTTTTGAGCTACTATCAAACTTTCAGAGAAATCTATCTTGGGTATACCAGAGATTTTTATTTATCGCAATCTTGACTGGAGCAACTTTGACAGATAATCTTAATCTATTCTGTAGAAAAACAGCTTCTCTGTGGATTCTATTTGGCACTAAATTGAGCAATTAGCAAGTTTAAAGCCAAAAATTTCAGCTGTAACGCGCTTTTGATCGTTGGAAAGGGGAGAACGACGTGTCGAGAGTCGGGAGAAATCGAGCGGCTCAATGCGTGGAATGTGGCTGCGGAGGCATTGCTTAGCACCGGTGACTTTCATTTTTTTTCATATATTTTCCATATATTTTAAGTTTTAAGTATAGAAATGCTTCGGATACAAGATTTTAAGCCACTATTGACCGGGAAAACTTCAGATTCGCGATCTCGCCTCCTCGTCGCCGGGATTGCTCTGGAAATGGGCGTCTACAAGGTCTAATTTGAGCCTTTTTATTGAAAATTTCAATGTTAAATTTAAATTTAAATTCAATATTTTAAGAATTACAGTAAATTTTAGTTAGCTTACCAAATTTGAGTTTTAGAAAGTACTTCGTAGCGCCGAGGCGACCCAATTGGAGCAGCTGTTGACGAGAATTGACACACTCGGGAGGCCAAGGAAACTCATCACAAAGTTCGTAAAACAACTTAAAACAAATATATCTAGTTTTTAGATATATTAGGTTGGCCGATAAGTCTTTAGACACTTTTTTTATAAATCTTTTTATAAATGGAAAGTTTACCAATTGACCTCTTTCTTTTTTTCTTCTAATGACACCAGAATAGGTTTCTTTGAAACAAAGTGGCTAAATCGCGTAATCGAGTGCATTTTTGATTTTGACTGACCGAATTCGCATCTCCGAACAAAAAACAGAAACAGGAATTTCTTAAGACTTCAACGATCTTTTATAGAAAAATTTTAGGGTTTTCTAATGGAGGAAGCCGTAGGTCAATAGGTGAATTGGTTATTTCTAAATAGCTTTTTAAAATGAATTGTCCGAAGACTTATCGGTCAATTTTGCAGATAATAAATCTTATTTTCAATTTAATTTAAAAATTAAAAGAACTGAAATTTCCAGGGTTACCGATTGCTCGTTTCTTTACTGGGAGCGCTCGATCTTTTCTCTCTATTTTGACTCGATCATCGACATCCAACCGACAAGAGAACAGATTGAAGTAAGAAAAGTAAAACTGACTTAATATCCAAATTATGCTATAAGATTTGTTTTTAATATTTCAATTTACTTTCAGTGTTTCGTTTGCACAATCGGTGACTGTGCCGCGTTGACCTCCCGAGCTTCTCATGTCGCCGATCGGGCATTGTTGCGCCGATTTCAAAACGATATCTATCATTCAATGCAAAAGGTTACAAAAAAATACATTTTCAAAATAATTATTTAAAGTCTATATGAATCTAACAATAATTCCAGGGTCTTTTGTATACAATGTGTGGCGATATCGAGAACGATCTCCGAATTCTCATCCATAAACACTTAGCCGTCGATGAAAAGGACAAAATATCGCCTAGAAAATTCGCGTTTTACAAGGTTTTCAAAATTTCAGAACTAGGTTTAAACTATATTTTAGAATCTTCTAAAAGATCCGCAAATCCGTCTATTCGATCGGGTGCTTGATGTGAGAGGTGAGTGAGATCAATTTTGGAATCTTTAGTTTTTGTTCCCTAAATATTACATCAAATTTCTCTTCAGAATTTGTCGAACGTTACTTGGAGAAGACTTTCTATAATTTGACCGTCGTTGCTCTTCATGATCGTCACACGTATACAAGAATGGCCGGACTGGCTTTTACAAGATACCAACTCCAACTGATCGATGGGCATCTACCGCATTTCAAGTGGGTAAAGAAAAGCTATTAAGCTGTCGAAAAAAATCTTTTTTTTTCCTTTTCGTACTTCCGTTCCATACATTCAGCCAATTTCTTGTATAGGTTTTATAGATTTTTACGAAAAACATGTGTTTTTACGATCGAATTTGCTTGAAAGTGAACCGAAATTAACTTAAAAGGATAGGAAATTGAACAATAAACACTTTTTATTTAGAGAAAAAGATAGGTTAATTGGTGAATTTGTGATTTTTCAAAAGGAAGTACGAAAAGGAAAGAAAAGACTTACTGGACAACCTAATAATGGCGCAAGGGTATGAGTCTAGCATAAGGTAAACTAGTTTATAATCATGGTTACACGTGTTACAAACACAGATAGAGCCTGGATATATTTGTGGTACGTAAAGCTACTGCACTTTCAGCCTCGACCAAGGCCTAGATGTGATCTCCGTGATGAAGAACCTCGGCCAATTCGTCACCAGCTACAACTACAGTCTAAATCAACAAGTATATATCAAATATGTCTAATTTGTTACAAAACCTGTTCAGGTATTCATCGAGAAAGACTCTGCCTCGAAATTCCTCCGTGTTCTCTCCGCTCAACACGTTGCCAACTCGTTGAGATCTCATGGAACAGGTTATTTATTTATATCTTGTTTTGTATTAGTTTTTTTTGAAAGCATTTTGTCTCCTTTTTCTAAAATCCCCTTTCCAGGTGTCCTCAACACGGCTGTCAATATAACATATCAATTATTGAGGTTAATACTTTAAAAAATATTGCCCATAAACTGATATTTAGGAAAAAGATGGCCATAGTGTCTCAATTTTTGGCCGAAGAACACGTGAAAGCACAGCTGCAACGAGAAGTTCGATATTTTGAGGAAAATGGGGAATCGTTGCAGAGATTGGTAGAGAGGCTTCAAAACTAAAAGTTTACAAATCTAAGAAATTTTAGTATCCAGTGAAAAGAGCTGAGAAATTCAATCGAGCCATCACTCAATTGGGAATGGAAGGAGAAGAGTCGTATTTAGACAAATTTCGACAAATCGTTACACAGGTTGGAGAGGATTACTATGTAAAAAAAGCGACATTTAAAAAGTGCTTAAGAAAAAGCTTCCGTAACCCTTAGATATCAAAATTTACTAAAAGTATTTTAGATTTTAGTTTTTAAAGAGAATTTCCAAACCTTTCAAACTTCTATTCTCAGATCGGCAACGCGTTGGGCGTGGTGCGTGCTTTGACGACAGCGGCTGCACTGGAGGCGTCACAAGCGAAACAAAGTGATGTCGACGAGAGTGATCGTGGGTTTTTCAAGGGTTTACTTCCTCTAAAACTTAATATATTTACTTGTAAAATATCAAAATACTGATAATTATAGAATCCTTAAACTTTTTAGCTTAAACTTTAGTCCCACTCACCGATCCGACCCAGCAAACCCCGGAGATTTTCACCGTTGTCAAGGATCTTCTCAAGGAAGTTCGCGAGCAGACCGGAAGAAACAGGAATTATATTAAAGTTAGTGCTTGATAAATTTTCATTTATATATATATATCTAATAAAAATCTTATATCTAACCATAATCATATTCAATTTTAGATGCTAATCAATGTGTTTCGTAGTGGATTCGCTGATCAAACGAAGTACTCTCATTTAGCTGGCTTCTATGCGGTGATACCACCACTAACGGTTGGAAAAAACAGTATCAAGCTTATGTTAATATTATAAGCTTTATAATATAATCGTATTAATTATACTATTAAATATATTCAGGTGAACTACGTGGAACACATGTTGACATGTCGAGAGCGATTGAGAAAGCGATCACAACAAGGAAAAGAGATCACATTTACCGATGATGGCTTTGTGATGGGTGAGCCTTCCTAACTAGAGGGTATTCTTAATTTATCCATTTCCTAAAGCACATATTTTTATAAAACTATCGTAATCAAACTGTTAGTTTAGAATAATATATAGGTATTTACTGCTATTTACTGCAATTTTTAGGTATCGCCTATTTGTGTACGGTGTTCGAGCAGTGGCGATCGTTGGCTGCACTCAATTGGTTTACCGCTGTGTTGAAGAGGTTTGCATAAATAAAAAAAATTTACTCTTTCTACAGTATACGAAAATGAAATCTCATTTGAGAGTCAATTCTGGATTCCATGAAATCGATTTTATGGAAGAGTCTATCGAGAAAAAAATGAATATATCCTAGAAAAAGAGCATAAGAATACTAATATTAATTATACTATTAAATATAGAATTTCGAGAATTTCGGCTCCTGTTCGTTTACTCGAACTTTTCGAGCTTTTAAGACGGTTTTTTGGGTGTTTTAAATTGGACTCTAAAGCGGATTTTTGAAAATAAAGGAATTTTTTTTGAATCAGTAGTCACGCTTTGAAAGCCTATAGCTTTACTTATCGATAATATTATGTTAGTTAACTGTAGTTAACTCTTTATAAAACTTTGATATCTAAATAAATAGTTTCTTTTTTTTCATTCAGGTGCGGCGAAGAGCGGGAAAAGCTGAACTCCGACGAGACTCCGGTCGGCGATCAGAGCGGGGTGAAAGCGTTGAGATCACAGCGATTGAATGCATATGAAAAGGTAACGAATATCTATTGTAATCTGTCTACATCTACCGTCATCTACTTGTCGAATAGACATCATTGTAATCTATCATAAATATCTATTTCTAAACGTTTCAGGAATTCAAATTGCTCGCCTACACCCTGCAATCGGCGCGCATTTTCTACTTCTCCGAGAACGATGATCAGCATTTGGTTACTTAAAAAACATTGTAAAGTATCAGATTTTTTAAAATCTACTTCTACATATTATTTTATAGATAGAATTCTCTATTCTATTTATTCTATAGTTTAAGTAAAGATTTAAGTTATTTAAGGACCTCTTTCACTTATCGACTACGGTTTTTTTTTGAGAATATATTGTGATATAAGTGATATTTCTCTTTCCAAATATTTATCCACCAAATTAAAGCTCTAATTTTTTTGTACTGAGAACTTGTTTGTAATTTGTTTTTGAGTTAAAAACAGAATCAATGCATAAACCCGTGTAAAAAAAAAATAGGAAATTTTGGGGAAATTCACAGCCTTTTCTGTACGGTCGCGTAATCGGCTAATGCCAACAAAGCAGCCAACATTTCTTCGCCTGAAAATCAGATTGGATTTGAAATTTGAAATTTTCTTGTCTACAACTACTGGCACATCTTAGCTCTCACTTTTCAGCAATGTTATGTGTTCCCAGAAAGTACTTGATCTTGATTAGCTTTGCTTTAAAATAGCTTTTCAGATATCTTTTAGATTTTAGGAAATGTAATATGTAACCTGTGCTTTCGATGAATGTTGGTGGCAAAGAGAAAGCGAAACTGTTGGCTGAATCGGTCGGTCTCAACTCGACTCCATAAATATAGGGAACACCACGATTCTGCATGAAATCAATTGACGTGCCAGAGGCTGGGTCTGGAAAATGCAAAGCTACTATAGCTGTTATTGAAATTACACATGAGCTCTGAAATCGTCCCATGGGTGTAGTAGGAGCCAGTCGTGTTCTTGATTGCGTTGATCGCGAGGGTGGCTGCGGTTTTCTGGGAATTTTTGTTATAATTTAAAATCGAAAACTTTTTCAATGCAAATAGCTGAATCTTACTTATATAGACTTAGAAAATAGAGGCAAAGTTTGTGTGTGTCTTTCTGTTCGTTCACTTCGTAGCTCGATTCCCAGTGGGAATTTCGGGCTGATTTTTTGGGACAATATGTAATCGACTACAGCGTTTTGGTCTGTCAAATCAGATTTGAAAAATCTCAACCCGTTTTTGAGAAAAGTTAAAAAAAGCGGCGGCGATTTGGCGGCGAGATCAAAGGTCACCAAGGAGTACCTCAAAAATGAATTTTCGATTCATTTTCTAAGAATATGTTAGCGGGAATTTACTATAAACACTTTACTTTTACTTTTAGCATTAGAAACATTTTGAAAAACTTTTTTATTTTAAGAAAGGGGCGAGGGCGGAAAAGTTCAAAGAGTCAGAAGTGACGATCAAAGAGATTCGGGCAGAGATATCAACAGAGAAAATTAGCCTCCCAAACTCAGTTTAGTTATTGGATATTTGGTAGAAAAATTCGTAAAATTGAGTAAATTTATCAACAATTAATGCTTAAGTACTCATGTAAACTATGCAAATCGGTCAACGGTTAACAAAGTTGACCCAAATCGGTCAACTGTTAACAAAGTTGACCCAAATCGGTCAACTGTTAACAAAGTTGACCCAAATCGGTCAACTGTTAACAAAGTTGACCCAAATCGGTCAATTGTTAACAAAGTTGACCCAAATCGGTCAACTGTTAACAAAGTTGACCCAAATCGGTCAATTGTTAACAAAGTTGACCCAAATCGGTCAACAGTTTAGCCCGACGTTTAGCCGGCGGGTTAACTGTTGACCACATTTGGTCAACAGTTAACCCGTGAGTTTACAAGAAAACAAGTACCATAATACCTCTAATAGTAGCGCCCCCATATAATGACGGTCGGAGCGTCGCGTAGTCTAACTATAAGCGCATTTTTCTTGCCACCCCTTTATGCTACAGTGTGCGCTTAAGTATCAAATGAAAGCTAAAATTCAGGGCTATTTTTTGATACCAAAAACGATTTTTTAGAAATTATAGACGCTTAGAAAAAAATGACTTAGTAAAAATTTTTTGTGACTACGCGACTATACGGGGGAGGCGCTACTATTAGTTTATTAGTATTATTATTAGTATTACGGTAGTCATTCAAATGTTCACCTGATCTTGATAGTTATCCGGCTTTTCATCAGTGTAACCCCAAGGTGAGAGGAGGACCTGAAATATAAAAGCAAGATATAAAACTGTACTTGGAGCTATTAAGGTAGTCTTGGAGTCTTGTCTTGGAGCTATCTATTATAATCAGGGCTGTTTCTCAATGCCATAAGGTCCTGAGCCCGCTTCGGGAAAGTTTCTGCTGAAAACTCGGCCGGAAAGAAAGTTTCCGGCAGCGGGAAACTCAAAGTTTTCCGGCAGGCGCCTGCTACGCTTCGGGAAATTCCCAAAAAAAGCGTAGTAGCTGCCGGAAACTTTTAAGCGTTGGCAACGTTTCCCTGACCATTCTCTGAGTCGCTATCGCTATCACTTGATCTCCTCATATCATTTCTGGCGGAAAGTTCCCGAAGCGTAGCAGCTGCCGGAAACTTTCCGCCAGAAATGATACGAGGAGATCAAGTGATAGCGATAGCGACTCAGAGAATGACCAGGGAAATGTTGCCAACGCTTAAAAAAAATTAATATCTCATTCAAAATACTTTTGAATCCCCTTGAAATAAAGTTTTAAACTCAAATACCTACAGAAAAAAAACTGTAGTTGCGAGAAAAATAGTCTTAAAACCTTTTGCCCTGATTCACATATCAAAATATGCTTTTTGGAGTTAGAATCTAAAGCTTAATAAATCGAAATCCTTGTTTATAAAGCTACCATTTTAGCACGCGGAAGCTTTCGGCGAAAATTCTATGTTAGCAGTTTCCCTAAACCTAAGCCTAAGCCTAAGCCTAAAGCTCCGAGAACTGACTGAGATCCAGAAAATGGGGGTTCAGCCCAAACCCAAATAGACTTAGTGCGAGGCGCTAGCCGCTAGCCTTCGCACTAAGCCTAAGCCTAAGCCTAAACCTAAGCCTAAACCCAAGCCTAAGCCTAAGCCTAATCCTAAACCTGAAGCCTCAAGCCTAAGCGTTTTAAGGCTAAGGCTTTTGGTTGGGTAAAACCCAACCAATAAAAGAGTTATTTGGGTTTGGTCTCAACCCGTTCCAATTACTGATCCAATACAAGTAATCATGGGGCTGAAATGTCCCAACTTGAACAGCCTCTTTGATCCGATAAAAGTACGGAAATCATAGGGCTGAAATGTCCCAATTTCCACCGTCGCCTCGATTCAATAAAAGTACAGAAATCAATTTGCAAGGATCCCCACTAGCCCAAACCCAAATAGCCGCCTTTTTTGGGGGAGGGAGGCCTGAATATTTGAGTGACCTTCAAATATAAATCACTAACGCTTAGTAATCGATCTATTCACTTTCACCACAATTTATAATATATCGATCATATAGTGGATGATAGTACGTGACATCAAAACAACTTTCAGTAACCATGAACCATGAGGAGGCCTGACTACTTGAGAGCCTCTAAAATACTTTGACAATTACTAACACTTAATGAGGATTCTGATAGTAAGGGAAAATCAGCATTCGAAAAAATTTAGGGATCATTTAATATCGACTATATCTCTATAGCCCTTCACTATAGAATGATCATATGGATCATCATAGAATCGGAATTCAAAGGAATTTCGCAAATCATGAATCTCAAACTGACTTCAAACTGGTCCGTTGGCTCGAACAGCCTATACTAAATCGAAATCTAACATTAAGTTGAGCGGCCGGTCATAATCTCACATGAAAACTGGATGCTACTTCAATTGACCCAGATAACCCAGACAATCAAGGTCACAAAGGGCAAATTTAGTTTTGAAAATCAACTAAAGCGCATGTTAGAAATAGAACCATATTAACACAAGAACCCAAAAAAGGCGGCTATTTGGGTTTGGGCTAGTGGGGATCCTTGCAAATTGATTTCTGTACTTTTATTGAATCGAGGCGACGGTGGAAATTGGGACATTTCAGCCCTATGATTTCCGTACTTTTATCGGATCAAAGAGGCTGTTCAAGTTGGGACATTTCAGCCCCATGATTACTTGTATTGGATCAGTAATTGGAACGGGTTGAGACCAAACCCAAATAACTCTTTTATTGGTTGGGTTTTACCCAACCAAAAGCCTTAGCCTTAAAACGCTTAGGCTTGAGGCTTCAGGTTTAGGATTTCAGGACTTTTATTGGGCTGCGTTAGCAGCCCAAATTTGGTTTTTGAAAATAAAAAATAGAATCAATTTGTGGAATAAAGACTTAGTGCGAGGCTAGCGGCTAGTGCCTATGGCCTGTTGAACCCACAGCGCGTTTGGATCAACAACATAGGGGTGGAACAATAAAAGGTGGCACTGAAAGCTACTCAAAATTTCTGTGAGTAATAAGGTAAATAATAATAACAATTAGTAATCAGAGAAATTAAGGATTGGAAAAATATTAGGTTGTCCCATAAAAAATTGCCCTTTTTTTCATTTGATTCCTATTCAGCGACAAATTAACACTTTTTCTTTCCCTTTTTTTTATTATACTAATTTAAAATTTTAGTTTTATGTGCTAAATTTTATTTTTTAGGAATCAAAAACAAAAAAAGTTGTGCTCGATCACATGACGCTGTCTCGTAAAGAAATCCATCAATAATCCATCAACGATATTTGAAGAGGATTTCCGCGGCCAAAGCAGCGAGAGAAATCAATTCTTTTATGGGCCAACAATCGTCAAGGAAAGGACTACACGATGATGGTTTCAGAAGTTCCGAAAAGGTGACAACTGGCTCACACGAAAGCGAGGAAGCGCTCGTCCCAGAAAAGTGAATCGACAGACGTTGTGGCGCCGAATTCAGCAAAATCCCGAAGTATCGACTCGGATTTTGGCACAAAGCTATTGCTGAAGAATGACAGTATGGCGTTGGCTCAAAAAAACCGGAAGAAAGTGGTTGAAACAGCGGCAAATTCCCTATCTTTTGAAAAATTCGATTAAGGGCCAAAGAGCGCGGTCATGCCGTCAACTATTGAACGAATATCGACGCGGTCGGTTTCCTCTTTTCAATATTATGACTCATGATCAATCGTGGATATTCTATGATGGTCGAGCGTTGAAACGACAATGGTTGAAGAAAGGTCGATTGGGAAAAGTGGTGGAAGAACGAAATACTCATGGGAATAAACGATTTCTGTGTGTCGATTGGTGTTCCTCTGGCATACTTTTTTTGGGAGCTGCTCCAGAAGGGTCAAACTTTTCACAGGGATGTTTATAGACGTCATATGCAACAAGTTGAGCAGAAAATTCTTCGATTGGTCTATCAGAATGAATGGAATGGTTTTGTGCTTGAAGACAACGCCCATCCCCACAAATCGAGGAAATCGAAGGCTTTTATGGAAAACGAGGAAATCGAAGGCTTTTGCACTGGAATGTACTTTCATATGCCGCTTATAGCCCGGATATTGCTTCATCTGATTACTATTTATTTTTGTCGCTAAAGGATTTCTTTCGAGGCAAGCAATTCAACAACCAAGGTGACCTCGAGGACGAATTGGAGGGTTACTTTCCTTTTACGCCGACCCGATTTTTACAAGTGTGGATTTGCAAAGTTACTAAAACGTTGGTTAAATGTCTATGATAATCATGGAAAATATATTGTTTGATCTACGTTGTTACTTTTTGTTTTGTGTTGAAAATAAAAATTTTTGAAAAACGGCAATTTTTTATGGGACAACCTATTCAAAAGGGACATTTGATGCTGTGGTTTACATAATATTCTGTTGCACCCACAGCGCGCTTGGAACAATAAAAGGTTACACTCAATACTACTAAAACCTTCTGTGAGTAATAAGATCAATAATAATAATAACAACAATCAGTAATAAGAGATATCAATGAATAATGAAGAGTTCTATTATGGTTTCTGACAGCCCTGGTGGTTGTGTTCAATGAATGAAAATTTGGCTCGTAACGGGCTCTATTGAGATTTGTAGAAGATTACTTAAGATGGCGTTAGTTAAATCAAGTGAACGGAAGTAATTGTTATTAGTTCCTTGCAAAAGAAACAGCGGATTATAACCAACATTTGAACAACGCAAAAATCAATAAGAAACTAACTTTACTCCAAAAGATATTTGCCATTATTATCAACTATGTTCTTACATTTTTTTGTGTAGACTTCGGATGTCTGATTCGAAAAATTCGGGGTCCTGCGATGCAAAGTAGTCTTGGACCCAAATTTCGACTTCTTCAGGATTGTTAAACTTTAGCTTCGCAAGAGAGTGTTGCATAGACAGGAACGAGTGATAATCTGAGGGAGCGATATCAGGCGAATAGAGCGGATGAGGCACAAGTTTCCAGCCTAATTCTTCTCTGGTGTTTTGAGCCAAGTTTGATGTGTGTACCCGGAAATTGTGAGCGAGTAAATGGATTGTCTTGGGATTAACACCTCTTTCTCGTAGAATTTCATCAACTTTCTTCAGCTCTTCGGCGTAGCTTTGAGAAGTTATAGTTTTTGAAGATTTTTCTAGTTTAAAATAAACGATTCCTTTCATATTCCAAAAGACCGACAGAATAACTTTCTTTCCGTGAAGTTCTGGATGTGATGTCGGAATCGGCCTTTCTCCTTTGCTCAACCATTGTCTTTTGCGAGTTGAATTATTGAAATATATCCACTTTTCGTCCATCGTCCACATGCTTTCAAAAAAAGCACTGCCCGTAGCCTTTTTCAATAAAATCCGAGACAATAAAACTCGATTGGCTTTGTTTTCAGGGGACAATTCATGTGGGACCCATTGGCCACAACGATTCCTTTTTCCAATAAGTGGAAGGTGTCGAGAAATTGTGCTCGAATCACATTTAAAGTATTCGGCTAATTCGGGCAAAGTTTGAGTTGGATCCAACTCGACAATCTCCAGCAATTCCGCATTATTGAGGACAACTGGACGATATCCATGCGGCTCATCTTCCAAGCTGCCATCCCCTTCACGAAAATGTCGAAACCATTCCTGGCAAGTCCTTTCACTCAAAATGTTTCCTCCGAATGTTTCACAAAGATCCCGGTGCGACTTCGATGCTGATTTCCTCATTTTGAGGTCATAGAGAAGGCACGCTCGCAACATGAGTTTTTGATCCGTCATCTTCTACCAAAGATTATGTAATATTTAATGATAGCAATAGTTGTGAAAATAATTAAAATGAATAAGCAATAGTAATACAATATAATACAATTGAAACCGGACCATCACACTTTCAAATAAAAAAAAACTTTCGTCCTCGGAAGTAATCCGCAGTTTCTTTTGGAAGTCCCTAATAGTAACTGAGAACTATTGTGATTCGTTTGTCAAGATTTGTTGGAATTTTATTAGTATCAATGTTGATAAAGTTAATTCATTGGAGATAATGTTGATGACAGTGTCCGTTTTCCGCTAGTTAAATTGCTTAATATTGGGCTGTTCGGATATAAACAAGCGTTGCTGAACTTTTTGTTGTGAGAGAAGCTTTTAAAACATATCTTTCTGTATTCAAAAGTACGTTATCTTGCGCATATTTGGAAACTTTTTAAACGGATAATTTGTTATGCAAAAGATGGCAAGAAGCAATCAATAATAATGGTGAATATACTTTGGATTAAACTGTGGTGTTTCTGTTTTTAAGGTAAATTTTGTCGACTACTAAAACGCTCGTTTATGTCCGAACAACCTAATACATTAAGCGAAAGTCGAGGTTATAAATTTTGTATTGTTTTTTTTAAATGGAAAGATTGGGGAGTCTGGGGGAACTTAAGAAGGTAGAAGTGATAATTTGTGATGCTTTGTAGGAATTTTGTTATTATCACTGTTGATAAATTTAATTGACTCGAGATAATGTTGATGGAATGTTCGTTTTGTCGTGGCTAGATTGCATAAATTAGTAAGAATTTCGGAACCTTAAAGGAATGTTAGACCCCTTAATATGAATGTCAACAAACTCAGCAGAGCCCCTTGCGAACTATGAGGTATGATTCTCGGGGTCTGCGGGCATTGTCCTTCGTAAATGGCCGGCAAAACCCCGAATTCACTTTTCTGACCAATGTGTGCCCGGGGTTTGTCGGCGCTTTTCATGATAAATGACTGGCAACCCCGGATCGACTGTTCTTAACTGTCAATTCCGGGGTTTACCGGGACATTTCTCAATAAATGGCCGGCAAAGCTCGAGTTCACTGTTCTGTCGGGATTTGTCGGCAATTTTCTTAGTGATTTGTCGGCAAATTTCTTGGTAAATTGCCGACCAGACCCCGAATTGGCTGTTCTAACAGTGATTCCCGGGGCTTTCCGGCACTTTTCTTAGTAAATGGCGGGCAAAACCTGAATTCACTGTTCTGAGCACTAAATTTCGGGGTTTGCCGGTACTTTTCTTAGTAAATGAGCAGCAAGCCCCGAGTTTCTTTGTTCTAACAGTGCTTTCAGGGGTTTGCCGGCACGGCAAAATCCTTTTTAACTGATTTTCGGTACCCAGCTCGACCTATTTCGACGTTTCACGATGTGGACAAAAAACGCCTATGCCGTAGCCTTAGCTCCGGGTTCATCCCAAACCCAAATAGACTTAGTGCGAGGCGCTAGCCGCTAGCTTTCGCACTAAGTCCAAGCCCAATTCGGCTAGCCAATATCTAAGCTAAAAGTACAAACCCATCATGACATATATTTCACTAAAGAAACGCAAATCCGTCAGAGACGCTCCACAGTAAAACAAAGATCCACGATACCAATGAAAATGAACGAGGAACGAATTTCATTCTATTCGGAACAGAATTGAATCTTTCTGGACCGTTTCGATGTGATTGCAGAGGTATTCACGTGAATGGGTATATCCATGAAAAGAGCCTATATAGCTGAAAATTTCTCTTTTTAAGGCATTTCTACTAATTTCTTTTCTAAAGCGTCTAAACCATTTCATGATCTTTGGAGCCGATTTTGCTTAGCTTAGACCAAAGGATTGTGTCAGCAAAATCAATCAACATTCGCTAAATGTGTTGAAACGTCTTGTTATGGTGCTAACAAATGATTTTGGGTAGGGTGAAGGTAAACTGCGGTAGGTTCAAAGGGCGGTGTCGATAGCATCAGAGGGAAAATTTTTCAGGCCTTAGCTATGTGGCAAGAAAATTTCCGCAGGTGTCAAAACACCCTTCGGCCGTAAGATCAAGGGTAAATGGCGGCAAGCTCAAAGAAAAATCGCGGTAAGATCAACGCTGACGTTGGTATGATAAAAAGGAAAATTTTTTCAACATTTCAAAACCTTCGTAGGGTCTTGCGGCGGCAAGATCAAAGGTAAATAGCGGCAAGATGAAAGGAAAATGGCGGTAAGATCAAAGGCGGTGTCGGCAACATCAAAGGAAAAATTTTTTGCAACCTTAACTATGGGCCAAAAAAATTTTTTTTTTTTCTAACCGCTTTGGGAGACTCAGCTGGACCTATCTCGACGTTTTAGGCTATGTCAAAAAAATCCCAAAATCGACATGTCAGATCTCAAATTCCAGACATGAGATCGACCTGAAAATTTGTCAGGATGCTCCTATGAGGGGCGGATGCAGAACCCCAAACGGGTGTGCCTTAGCTCCCAGAACTCGCTGAGATCCAAAAAATGGGGGTTCAGCCCAAACCCAAATAGACTTAGTGCTAGGCGCTAGCGCTAGCCTACGCACTAAGTCCAAGCCCAAAGCGTAGCAGCCGCCGGAAAGCCAAAATTTTCCTGTAGCATACGGGCTCTGGTCAGGACAGGCCAGGAATCTTTAGTGTTAGATCTCGCTTGGAATATCCAGCTCAGAAGTATGGCCTTGCTCTGTTCTAGCTCAGTTCTAGCTTGGTCTAGAAATTTAGACCTAGAACCTTGATTCTGATCGTTAGCACACTATCAATAAATCTTGCAATATTTTCCCATTCTCTCACCTGTCCATAACTGTGTAGACTCGCGTAGATGGTGAGTTGAGGGATATTCCATGTAATGTATTCTCTAGAATTTTCGAGATCATATCAGATAAATTTCGATTAAATATTTCACCCCTTAGCAAACCAAGTTCAATTTATTAAACATATTTTGTAAAAACCCACTTGAGACCACGAATCTCGGGCTCGGAGAATGGGTGAGAACCGGCGTAAACCGTCGAACATGGAGAGCGATTGGCACCGGCTCCTGGAAATGCTATGTAGACTTTGATTTGAGAAATAATATGATCTACATTTGCTTATCATTTGCTATTTGATGTAGTTTCTTGGATAAATAAAAGATGAATGCTAGTCCCCTTCCCACTAGAGTGTGTTCCTCGCGAGTAAGTAATTACTCGAGTAAAATTTGCATGAGTAATCTTTACTCGATTAATCGGCCTTTTTTTGGTCGAGTAACTACGAGCAAATCCTCTTTACACGTCGAGTAAATTGAATATCTTTACTTGTGAAAGGGAATTTCCCATCAAATCAGTTGAACGGTTGAATAGTCTTTAAAAGGAGTCGTATATAAGGCGGCGCTCGTGATTTTCGCGGCAATTTTTTTGCAATTATTTTCGCTAAAAGTGCGGTAATTTTTTCCCCAAGTGTGCGTTTTAAAAAAGGCATTAAAAAAGGCAAGGAACACACTCTACTTTCCACTCACCACCCCATCGATAACCCCAATTCCTATTCGCGTCCGCTCCCACACACCATTTGTTCACTGTCATATTTCTGGATCTCGTTTTTCTCCATAAACGATCCTAAATGTCAACATTGACTTAATGTGCTTTTGCTAGAATACCGTAGTCCTTGAGTACTCATATCCGTCGGGATTCGTTTGTGGAACGATGTACCAATCGAATTTGTCGATTACCCGGCTGATCGTATCATTGTTCCCGTATTGAGCGGCTAACTGAAATCATCAATGACGGGTTGAATCATGACAAAAAACGACTCAAAGCATACAATGATCATACTAGTTAGCTTTAGTAATAATCAATCTATGACTGGCAATAATCATAAAAATAATCAATCAATAATCTTTAGTAATCAACAGTCAATCTGATCTGTCAATGCTGTTCTGTCACTAGCTGAGCTCGAAGTTCGGCATTGATTCAAGCTCTAGTGGCTCTTACATAGAATAGACTATGCTATTCACAAAGCTGTAAAAAATAGCGCATAAGAACAATATCAATATATTTCTAAAAGAGCCACTCGGTCACGAATCGATTCTGAAATCGATTCTCAAACTTGTAAGCTTGAGGGTTTAAGTGTCAAGCCACGAAAGCTTTTCTAAAACGTTGAGTCACCTTGGCGAGACATTTTCTTGTAATTATTGACTTTAATAAGTAAGTAATAAGTAATTAATAAGTCCTACTAACTTCCCAAAACTCACTCGATCGATAACGACCAGCGCGGCGGCGGGGGCTATCCATTCCCGAGCGTGTACACCAGCATCAACAAAAACCGACGGTTTTCCCGCTTTTCCATCACCAAATATCTAAAATTTTTCTATATAATGTATATAATTTTTTTAAAGTCTAAAAATGATCTTACCGTAAATACTGTAATAGTACCGCACCCCCATAATGACGGTGCGAAGTGTTGCGTAGTCTAGCTTTGAACGAGTTTTTCTCGACACTGGTTTATGCTACAATGCGCGCTTAGGCATCAAAAAATAGCTGAAATTAAGGGCTATTTTTTGACACCTAAGCGCGCATTGTAGCATAAACCAGTGTCGAGAAAAACGCGTTCAAAGCTAGAATACGCAACACTCCGCACCGTCATTATCTTTGGTATCAAAAAATAGCCCTGAATTTCAGCTATTTTTTGATACCAAAGACGCATTTTTTGAAAGTACGGGTGCTTTGCAAAAAAATGAAATACTAAAAAACTTTTGCGACTACGCGACTGTACGAAGCGACTGTACGACTGTACGCGACTGTACGACTGTACGACTGTAGGGGTACTATTACAGTATTTACGGTATATATATCTTAAAAAAGGTACATGAAAATTCCCACTTTTATCCCATAAAGCGTCTTCTCTTCAGAGGAAATTCCCACATTAATCAACTCGACATGTTCATTCTCTTCTGACAATTTTCTCATATAATCGATCATCTGAATTTGAAATTAAAGCCTATAAGAAAGATTTTCGCACCTCATCATAGCTGTGGTATTCATCCAATTTGAAATCCCGAGCCTTGTTCAATTGTCTTCTCACTCGCCGCTTTGCTCCATATCGAGCTGCCATCTCCAGATCGCTAAAGTTTAGATATTATTTTAATAATATAGATTAGATATCTTTTATTTAGATATCTTTTATTTAGATATATAGATTTATTTATTATCTAGATATTTCTATAATAGCTTTTTTTCTCCAACCGCTGCACATCCTCTTTGATAACTTTCATGTCGGTGACACCGTAGACTCGAAGGTAGTCCCTAAAACTTTGACGTGTATTTTGTAAAGTAGTGTACTAATTTAAAGGCAAAGCCACGCTATTTCTAAATGCCCACGAAAATGTCCCGTAGAACTCGGGTGCGACGAGAACGACGGCCTCTTTCTTGAAACGTGATGGCTCCGAGAAAATATCCACCAAAATTCGAGCGGACTCTTCGTTCTAAAAGTTCTTTTATACACTAGTTGCATTTTTCTAACCTCGGCATAATTAAATCCGTATTCCTCCAAATAATGAAGCCATTGAGCAGCGCGTTTGTTGGTGGTGAATGAGATGAGGCGGTAACTGGAAAAGGGAAAGGGAAAGATTTCAAGTATTTGGCTGTTCAGAAAGTCTTTTCTTTCCTTTTCGTATTTTCGTTTAAATACCAACAAATGCACCAAATAAACTACGGCTTATTTCATTAGAAAAGGCAATTATTTTTCTGCATAATAACATTAAAACGGGTTTAAAATCTCGGTACTAGTTGGGAGGAAGGCACTTTTTTTTCTTCAAAACCACTTTTTTCTGGGATAGCTTTATGCGTAGATTCCAAAAAACACAACGAGAGCTTCGGAAAAGCCGTTTTAAGCCGCGTTTCGGGGCTCCAAAGTGCCTCCAAAGTGCGCTTCTATAGTGTACTTCACTATACTTCACTGGAACCCAAGCTATCGACTATTGGGGCACTTTTCAAGGTCAAAACTAGAGCCAAAACCATTTTTTAACGACTAAATATTCATTTTCTAAATTAAATTGAAATTTCGATGTCTTATGTCTGGTTTTTTTTTTGAGAAAAAAGTCGAAAAGAGGAAAGGGTAGTCAAAAAGAGTAGCTCAATGATGCAATTTCGACACTTTAGCTAAGGAAACCTATCTTCATGTCAATAGATAAAAGATAGAGCACAAAAAGTTTAGTATATAGCTAAATTTTCAGAGAAATTCATTTATCCAATTTCTTTTTAGAGATTTTTGTTGTGTTTTCACGCTCAAATTTGCTTGATAGTGAACCAAAATTAACTTAAAATGATAGCAAATTGAACAATAAACACTTTTTATTTAGAGAAAACGATAGGTTAATTGGTGAATTTTGGTGAATTGTGAAAGATTGGTGAATTTGTTATTTTTCAAAAAGGAATTACGAAAAGGAAAGAAAAGACTTACTGAACAGTTTAATAGGATGTTCAAAGAAGCTAGAGAATGAGCTAGACCTGCCCTGCCACATACAAGTTCCTTGATTATGTATTGGACCTGGCTTTTAACCGTGCTCTGACCTGGCCTGGCTTGCAGATCCTAGGACTGCTTAGAACATCTCAGCTAGAACAGGCTGACCTACTCTAGGCTGACCTACTCTAGGCTGACCTACTCTAGGCTGACCATGTCAGCATAGCATATACCAAAATTTCCAGGCCAAAAGCAAGCCAAACAGTCAGCCAAAGCTAGGCCAGATCGGGTAAGGGCATTTTATGTGATTTCCATTGAGTGGAATACCCCTTGATTGTAAGAAAAGTGTTACCCCGAATACGATGTCCTTTCGGGTCTCAAGATATTAGCAAAAGTGATGGGGAGAAACAAACAAAGTAAGATCAGCCACATTGTTGAGTCGATTGTAGGTTTAATCTAAAATCTTCACCATTAAAAACCAAGATATAAGTGTAAAATCAAATAGCAAATGGAAAGTTGTCTAGAAAGAGCTCTGAGGAGATTTTAAAAAGGCAGGAACATCTCGAGTGAATGATCCGAGACACGGTCTTCCTTATTGGAGATCAGAGGAATGGGGGTAAAGGAGGGGAAAGTAAAAAAAAAGGAAAGGGAAAGAGTCAGGTGGTTCTCTCGTTAAACCCAAGCTCAAGGCACATTCGATATTTGATGAGAAGATGACAGGAGTGTGAAGAGGGAGTCCCACTCAGGTATCTACCCCTCAAAGATCCCCAGGGCCAGGTAAATGATCCTTTCTCTTGTCTCTAATCAACAGTTTACTTGTCTCTCTTATCTAGTTAACTTGTGAAATTCTATCCTTTCTTTCAAAAAAAAAGGAAGCAAAAGTTAAAAAGCACTCAAAGTAAGCAAAAGTTTACTGAGATTACTGAGATTTTAAAGGTTTAAAGGTTAAAAACAGATCAGATCATAACAAGCTCAAGGCACATTCGATATTTGATGAGAAGATGACAGGAGAGTGAAGATTGAACTTGACAATAGATTTTGAAGTAGATTTGAAGTAGATGTGATTAATTCGCGAGCCAAAACTTTCCATGACACTTGCAAATCATTGTAAACTCTCATACAAATGCAATAAAAGAATTTAGATCTGAAAAAGTGATTGACAAGAAACACAAATCTAGGCCTAGAGCATGAAACTCTGAAACCTTTGAACTCTGAAATCCCAATGATCGGCCGGTTCTTTTTACAGCAGTTTTCAATTTTCTTCTTTCTTTTTTCTGTTTGGCAAGTAAATTTTCTCTTTTTTTTGTTGTGTTTGTCTATGTATTTGATGGATAAAATGGCTTGTGCCAAGAAAGAAATGTGTTGACCTACGAAAAGACGACACAAATATTTGCATAGAGTTTAAGAAGTTCAAGCTGTGTGCAATAGGTGAATTTCATTGGTAAATCATTGGAAAATCATTGGTAAATCATTGGAAATTCTTTGACTCTAATAACTCTAACGCCTAAGCTCTAACCTTTATAATGTAAAATGTCACTTTAGTCCTAAAGTGACATTTTACATTATGTCGTTGTTAAAAGTTTCGCATTTTCAAACAGTTTAAAGAGTTTGCCCGGCACGTTTCAAACAAAGAGTTTGCCCGGCACGGCTTGCTCTGTTCTACGTATTGACTAATCCGTTTTGTCTAAAATGTGCCAACTTTCTCGATTACCGTAATCTTGACTCGAGTTTTTGTCTGTAGATCGATTTTTGACAAAGCAAAATTTCAGTCATTGATGAAAGCTTGAATTTATAATTTAAGAACTTCAAAGCAAAACTCGTTTGAGTATTTCAAAAGGCAACAAAAGATTGAAAAGAGATCACACAAATCTGTAAGGGGATTGAGGTGAAAAAAAAGGTGTCCTTTGTGTGACGAAATGTTGAGGCTATGAAGATTATGTTCATACACAAATCTGGCTAAAATATGACCCTCAATTTCTCATATTTCTTCAATTTCTTCCATTTCTCCCCAATTCTATTTCTTATCCTTTTCCCGATGCAAAGCGAGGCAACTCTTTGGTCGAATCTTCCGCCAAATATTGGACTTTTTCCATTTCTCGACTATATGACAGGTGTTAGATTTAAATAATCTTTTCTTTGCAAGAATGCTGTAGATATTGCTTTCTTTAGATATTGCATATCTAAAGAAACTATATGTCGTAGCCGATTATGAATGAAATTTTTTGGCAAATCTTTCTAGTAGAGCAACCCTTTAATGTATGAGGACAATATTATATCATCTTGTAGTGAATTCAATTCTGCGTCGATTCGTACCAAATTTGTGAGTTTAGGTTAAAAATTGCCGGCGCTACAACGTTTCATTCAAAATCGCCGGGACCCCAGTAGCCGATTATGAATGAGTGGGTCTAGGAGCGTCCAACCATCAAGTATTTAGTATCATTCAACGCAGAATCATTAATAATTATGTTAAATTTTTTAAATTAGAAAGATTGAATAAAAAGAAAAAAAAATTAGAGCAAAAAAACTGTTTGTTCAAGAGAAAACTTTGAAGCCCCATAATTTTTTTTCTTTTTATCCAATCTTTCTAATTTAAAAAATTTAACATAATTATTAATGATTCTGCGTTGAATGATACTAAATACTTGATGGTTGGACGCTCCTAGACCCACTCATTCATAATCGACTGAAATTCATAATCGGCTACGACATATATAATCTTTCTTCAAATGTAAATCTTCAGGAAAAACGACGACAACTGTTGACCCACTGAACACCACAACGAAACCCCCGAATCTCTTCAACAAAGCAAATTGGCAAACGGACAATGCTGGGAATATTTTCATTGGTAATTTTAAGCTTAACAGATAGAAATAACAGATAGAATTTCATCTAAAATCTCAAAATTTTTTAGGAACTGACGACAACAAACTTTTCCTCATCACAACCGGATCCATTTGGCCTTTCCCCGTTGAATATCCGATGAGATAGATCGTTTTTGCTTTTGCCTCAATGTTTTTATGACTTGTAAATTCGAAAATTCAAATATCGATCGAAGGGAAAGTAAACCACACAAAGAACACCGCGCCAGTCATTTGCAGAGTGATTTGGTTTTGACTTTGAGAATTTCATGTCAGAATTGCTTTTCTTACGATTGTGTAGTTCAATCAATTCTTACGATTGTGTAGCTCAATCTATTTTATATCATTTGAGAGCCTGACGTGTCCTCTCTAGAACCATATAAAAAGTTAACTTTAATATTATCTTATTCAGTACTTGGAAACGATCCGAAAGGAGGGATTGAGTACGACCACAAACAATACAAACAATATAAAAGCGAGAAATTGAAATTGGCGGGGGGGAATGAAGAGTTTAATCGAGAAATCCAGCTGGGAAATAAGTGGGAAATACTGGGGGAAATAAGTGAAATAAGGAATAAGGAAACACTGGGGGAAATAAGTGATAAGGAATAAGAAAATAAATAAGGAAATACTGGGGAAAATAAGTGAAAAAACAAAGCGAGGTTGTTGGAAAAGTCAAAAACAAAACAAAAGATTCGAGAGAGAAGATTCGTGTAAAAAGCGTTTCGATTTGATCGGATCCACATCGGCGGTTGTCAGGAGATATTTCTATTTTGTTCAGGATATGTGCGTCAAGATTGCGAGAATAAAGTGCGTCAAGATTAATATACATGAATTCATACACATACACACGAAAAAAACTATTAGTTTATGTAATAAAGATAAAGATAAGATATAATTTATGTAATAAAGGCAGCACCATAAAATCAAGATCAACTAGAACTACAAGTTCGCGTCACTTTCATCGTACTTCACCAGCAGCGGAACAATCGGATGATCCCTGAAATGAAAGAAGTTCTTACTAACAACTCGTTTTAGTTTCAACGGAAGTGCGAGGATGCGAAGCGCCAAAGTGTACAAAATCCAGGAGAATCAATGATGCCGAGTGGCAAATATGCAGCGAATCGACGGATCAAAAAAAAAGGATTACCAGTTGTCAAAGTATTTTTTTATTTCTTTCTTTTGGAACTTTTGGTACTTGTGGGGTTGCGGGGGCCACTATATCTTTTTCCAAAACCACCTTTTCTTGGGTAGTTTTTTTTGCGTAGATCACGAATTTTATAGTGGGAGTTTGGGGAAATGCGTTTTAGACCGACTTTCGGGACCCGAAGTCGCCGCCTCTACTGTGTACTTCACTGCGGGCTTGTATAAGAAGAGCTCATCTAAGGCCTCGGAGGATTTTTTCAACAAGCAAAAACACTTTCTTTGAATTAATTTAATACAAGTACCAAAAATTCATTTGAAATCGGAAAGAAATGAAAAAAATACTTTGACAACTCAATTCATCAGAAAAAGTGAAAAAGAACTAAAAATTAAAGCGCTTACCAAATTGGAGAGAAGAGTCGAGCCAGAAGAAGTTCGAGTGTCGTCCGCGCTTTTTATTTGACCATTAAATGCAAAGGTACCAAGTCGAATGTAAATTTTGTAAGCAGACAGACTGTGGGAGCTTATAAAAATGATTTCCGTCATTTTGTAAATCTCAACAAGTGCAACAAGGTTTTCTATTTTACAATGTTTAAGCAAAAGCAAGTCGCACAATTTATTGCATTGAGTACATGTAGAATAAGTGAAGATCGGAAATGAGAAAAGGGAGAGCAAAGAAATAATCGCTTCATGAAATGATGCCAAGGAGAAAGAAAAGGCTCAATCGTCTCGTCACGATTTGTGACACATCTGTTTCGACCTCTTCATCCAACTCATTGTATTCAGAGTCACCAGTGTCCGACGAAGAAGGGTGATTGGAACCAAAGACATCTTTTGCATATGCATCCAATGTAATGCTCAATTCGGTGTAAGAACTAAGCTTTCCGATGGTAGACCAAATTGATGGGGACACAACGGAGGCAGAAGATTACTAGTCGCATTTCTGCAGGAAGAAAAAGCAGGAAGATTACTAGTCGCATTTCTACATTTTAAGTTGGTCAACTGGAATATTTTCCAGTTGCACATGCACCAGTTTATTTGATCAGAATTTAAAGAACAATTCTAGGGAAGGAGATATCTTCTTGCTTTTTGCTGTTGCAACTGGGAAATATTCCAGTTGACGAACTTAAAATGTAGAAATGCGACTGTAGAATGTAGAAATCTTCATGCTTTTTGCTGTTGCATCCCGTTGTGTCCCCATCAGTTTGGTCTACTATCGGAAAGCTTGGTTCTTACACCGAATTGAGCATTACATTGGATGCATATGCAAAAGATGTCTTTGGTTCCAATCACCCTTCTTCGTCGGACACTGGTGACTCTGAATACAATGAGTTGGATGAAGAGGTCGAAACAGATGCGTCACAAACAGATTTTGACCAAAGACCACAATTCAGGGAAAGAGCCAATTTTTCTATTAAAACAAAGCATGAGATGATTGCACATCTGAGTGGTGAGTTACACTTAAAATACCGAGTCCGGGTAATTATTGAAAACCCTGTAGTTTCAATTGAATAACTCGAAATATTCAGTCTGGTATACGGTGTATTTGACATACTGTAATGAGACAAGAGACTGGGGCTTCTTTACAGAATTTTACCGCTTTATATGCAAGATTACGGTAGTTTTTGAAAGTCTGATATACTGTATCTCTGACACTTTAAAGTCTCAAAAGGAAAAGTGATGGATAAACTGATGCTAGTGCACAGTTGATCTTTGATAGAACTTGAATTTCAAGATTGCTTTAGAAAGAAGAATGTTTGAAATGACAACTGTTAGCGGATAGCTTTTCATTTTGCATAGACACCTCACTCCTTGATCACTTTGTGCTCACGGATCATCGCCAATTGAACATGATGTGTTTGATGGAAAGTTTGCTCGTGATTCAACCCGTCAAACATTCGCTCACCCTCTTGTCCTCCGATTTGGGAAGTGATCTGAAAATTGAAATTTTATGTCATTTTTCAAATCAACTTTATTACGTTTATTATAACGTTGTACTCACCCCTCCGCACACCAAAAAGCCGACAACTTGATCCATCTTACTGTAGATCGTGTAGATGTGCTGACCTTCGTAGCGTTGAAGTGAGTTTATGTCCTGAATATAATATAGAATTCAATATTTTAACATGAACATGAATGTTCTAAACGAACATTTAGGTATGAGCTTGTGTGAGGGCAATTTCCCGAATATAATCCATTCAGCTGATTGCAAATTGGCAATCCACCCAGGGCACATGCGGGCAGCTGGAGACCGGCCATCTGAAAATTTGCATTATATTTACATTTTTAAATATTTCGTTGTCGTCAAGGACTCTATTGAATTGAGTAAAGTCCCAAAGGGGGGGGGTTAGTGGGAGTTTTTTGACCGGTAGAGGAAAATTTAAGAGGGCGCTTTGAAAAAAAAAAACGGGGGGGGGGTGGTAATTCGTTTTCTAAACCACGGCACTTTGAAAAACTACCTTTATCTTGTCTCTAGTCTCTAATTCTATTAAGGTTCACGAAGGATACCGAAAAGACAAAAAGTGTAATAGATTACGGTAGTTGCTAGAGGCAAGGTTACGATAGGTTTAGAAAGTTGACACATTTTAGTTCTAATAGTAAGTTAAGTTAAGTTTAGATTAACACCTGCAACGCGATTCCGTGATTCGGCCCAGCCACACCCACGTAAGTGTCGATGAACTTTGTCAATGGACCTCCCAGGAACTCGCCCGTGTCAACACAGTGCCCTGAATTCGTGATTGAAGTATAGAAAAGTTTACTCTTTGTAAATGTGTATAGTACCTCCAAGGATTGCTTTTCGTGAGACAGGGACTCCCAACGAGAATCCGACCACGTCCACTTGACGACCAGTGTAAAGACGAACAGCAACGATCAAGGCTCTTACCTAGAGGATTATTTTGAATATTATCAATCCTCAATCAAAACCTGTTTCACATATTCGCATTTCATCGAGTACTCGACCCATTTCAGGGGATTCCCTTGTGCTCCATTGAAATACGTGGTCGAGTAGAGCTCCGACTGCTTATAGCCACCATTGGTTCTAGACTATTTGATAGCTTTGTGGCTTTGTTTTCAGTTTGATCTCACTTGAGCACAGGAAAAGAATGTAAAAGTGAGCAATTTATATTTGAACTTGGGTCAGCTTTTGGAACTACCGTAATCTGCCTCTAGCTTTTGTCTCAACTTCTACCTTTGGTTTGATTTTGTTCGCGAAAGATACTGTAAGATAAAAATATAGATTGGAGAGATGGAAGATTACGGGATTTCAGAAAATTGGCACGTTTTAAAAAACTTACCGTAAATACTGTAATAGTACCCCACCCCCCTCGTACAGTCGCGTAGTCGCAAAAGTTTTTTAGTATTTCATTTTTTTCAAAGCGCCCGTACTTTCAAAAAATGCGTCTTTGGTATCAAAAAATAGCTGAAATTCAGGGCTATTTTTTGATACCTAAGCGCGCATTGTAGCATAAACCAGTGTCGAGAAAAACTCGTTCAAAGCTAGACTACGCAACACTCCGCACCGTCATTATGGGGTGGGGTACTATTACAGTATTTACGGTATGTATTGTCGATGAATACACTCTTGTTAACCAACTTGAACCAATTGGCCGCCTCGGTCGGTTTCTCTCCAGCCATATCGGAAACCCCGTGCACAAAGATCACCGGCTGATTGATCGGCGCATCCGCATCATCGATTTTCCCTCCATACGATCCTTTCGGTCCAAGGTCTACTCTGGATTTGATTTTCCAGTTGATTATATGCTCAATTGCACTACCTTTCCAATTGATCTCGAATCTGTGGACCGTAGAAATTTCCCAGCCATTTGTTAAAGTGCGGGGTAAACGCGGTATGAACTACTGGCAGTAACAAAAGAAATAGACTATCAATCGACCACATCTAAAATTATAGATTGAAAATCATAGAGATTAAAGCAAATGAGTTTTATAAAAAAAATCAGTTGCATCGTTTATTGATCAGGTCAAGGCGAGGAGAATGAGCAAGCAACAAAACAGGCTCTTGAATCGACAATCCCCGAAACCCGTTCTATTGTCACCAGGGATTTTCTAAAAAGATCCCTTCTCTAACCATAGGAGTTGCTATTGAGCACGACAGATCGTGCTCAAAAGTGTCCTAACATGTGCAATGCCAAAATACAGAACACTCTCTAGAAAGTAATAACGAGAAACGATCAAATGAGCAATTTTTAAGATCTATTCTTAAAGGTACCTTTAATGGCTACCTTGGTTTAAAGTTTAACCCTGTACATCGAACAAAACCGTTTTTTATCTTCGATACACTCGTTCGTCAACTTACCGCTGATTTAATTTACAGTTTCCAGGTTTATTTACTGTCGATTACTGCAATATTTCAACTTTAGGTTCAAAAATTTTTTTCAACGATGTCCCCTACTTTATAACGGTACAATCACGCAAAACCAAGTCGGAGTCGTTTTTTAATATGGAAAGTTTGGCTAGACTGCAGTTTACTCCCCATTTGACTGTTTCCCCTGCCGTTGACCCCTGCGAGGCTTCCCTTGTCGCGGGCCTGCTATTTATCTAGGGCTTCGGCTCCGCACATACATCGGCACCGTAGGCGACGCCCATGAGAGCTTGCAGCACACGTGCCCGCCTTCACCGGTCGCAACTGCCTGGGTTAGGCGAAGCGCGAGCCTAACCCAGGCACAAACCGCAAAAAAGCGCGATACCGATAGGCAAGTGCAGACGGGGTAAAGGCCACAAAAAACCACCGTTTATCAAAATCAAAATAAACTGCAGTCTTACCGAAAGTTTTAATTTTAATATTGAACTTGGATCAGAAAACAATTTAATAAAAACAGGCTCATCAGATTGATGAAAGTTCTTCCTATGGTTGAACCTGCATATGAGACGGGTACTGTACCGAAACATCTAATTAGGTAGGTGACAAAGACATTGAGGAATTTGACCCAAAAGGTAGTTGTGTAGCTCTAACGAAACGAAGATTGCGCAAAGGCCGAAGGCCAAATCCCTTCAAACATTTGGTGGTTATATAGCTGTATTCAACAGCAACAAAATATTCAGTTAATTCATTAAAAGTTTATGACGCAGTTTTGACGAGATTGTCGTTAGGTTTCGTACGTAAAAGCACCAAGAAGCGACGAAGTTGAAAAAATTTCATTTGCAAGTTTTCCCCGACCTGATTGCTTTTGCGTTTTTTCTCGTTCAACATTTTATTGCTCATTGCTTATGTATTAGATGTACCTACGTTTTTAGATGTCTTCATCTGCTGCTGGTAACTCTGATGGCGAAACTTTCGCTTTCCAAGCGGAAATCGCTCAGTTGATGTCTTTGATCATCAACACTTTCTACAGGTTTGATTTAGCTTTCTTTTTCGTTCACTAATTTTTCTTTTTTAGTAACAAGGAGATCTTCCTTCGTGAACTTGTGTCCAACTCTTCGGATGCTCTTGACAAAATCCGCTATCAAGCTCTGACGGAACCATCGGAGCTCGACTCGGGTAAGGAGCTCTTCATCAAGATTGTCCCCAACAAGGCGGACAAGACGCTCACCATCATCGACACTGGAATCGGAATGACAAAGGCTGATCTTGTGAACAACCTCGGAACCATCGCCAAGTCCGGAACCAAATCTTTCATGGAGGCTCTTCAGGTTGATTTTAAAGCATAGTAAGCGTTTCAAGTTTATTGGTTTTGGGTTAAAGCAACTTTGTTAATTTAGGCTGGAGCTGACATTTCGATGATTGGTCAATTCGGAGTCGGATTCTACTCTGCTTTTCTCGTCGCGGACAAGGTCGTTGTGACCTCGAAGAACAACGACGACGATTGCCACATGTGGGAGTCATCGGCCGGAGGTAGCTTCATCGTCACTGCCGTCAACGACCCAGAAGTGCCTCGTGGTACCAAGATTGTTCTCTACATCAAGGTATTTCTTTGTGCATGTAGCGCTGATAAATTTTTCTATTTTAGGAGGACCAGGCCGAGTATCTCGAGGAGCGCCGCATCAAAGAAATCATCAAGAAGCACTCGCAGTTCATCGGCTATCCAATCAAGTTGCTCGTGGAGAAAGAACGTGAGAAAGAAGTGGAGGACGAAGAAGCGGAGGAAAAGCCCGAAGAGGCATCTGAGGTTGGCTCAACATCGGTTTCTTTGTTAACTTCATTGATTTAGGAAGGAAAGGTGGAGGATGTCGGCGAAGATGAGGATGCGGACAAGAAGGACAAGAAAAAGAAGAAGATCAAGGAAAAGTACTTCGAAGACGAGGAGCTCAACAAGACGAAACCGATCTGGACTCGCAACCCCGATGACATCTCAAACGAGGAGTACGGGGAATTCTACAAGAGCTTGAGCAATGATTGGGAGGATCATTTAGCCGTCAAACACTTCAGGTTTTCCTTTACTGCTTTTATCTACTAACAAATCAATTTAGTGTTGAGGGCCAACTTGAGTTCCGCGCTCTTCTCTTTGTGCCTCAACGTGCTCCATTTGATCTCTTCGAGAACAAGAAATCGAAGAACTCGATCAAGCTTTACGTGCGCCGTGTCTTCATCATGGAAAACTGTGAGGAGCTGATGCCTGATTATCTTAACTTTGTGAAAGGTAGGTTGATTTTAGCTTTCGAAACTAAGTTGGTGGAACTACAATAAGGAAGTTTCTTCAGGAGTCGTCGATTCCGAAGATCTGCCTCTTAACATTTCACGTGAGATGTTGCAACAGTCGAAGATTTTGAAGGTCATCCGGAAGAACCTTGTCAAGAAGTGTGTCGAGCTCTTCGATGAGATTGCCGAAGACAAAGACAATTTCAAGAAGTTCTACGAGCATTTTGGCAAGAACATCAAGCTCGGAATCCATGAAGACTCCACCAATCGCAAGAAGTTGTCTGAATATCTTCGTTATGCAACATCCTCATCGGAAGAAACCACTTCTCTCAAAGACTATGTCTCAAGGATGAAGGTTAAAAGACTATTTTTGAAATCTATTTATGTTTACTTTTAGGAAAACCAGACTCAGATTTTCTACATTACTGGCGAATCGAAGGAGAGCGTTGCCAACTCAGCTTTTGTGGAGCGTGTCCGTTCCCGTGGCTTCGAAATTCTCTACATGACTGATCCCATCGACGAATATTGCGTCCAACAACTCAAGGAGTACGATGGAAAGAAGCTTGTCTCAGTGACCAAGGAAGGCCTTGAGCTGCCCGAGTCGGACGAAGACAAAAAGAAGTTTGAGGAGAACAAGGTGGGGATATTTATGCATTAGTATAGTTTGTTTGTGTATTCTACTTTGAGCAAGTTAAAGTCGCTGTTTAGGTGAAGTTCGAAGGGCTTTGCAAGTACATCAAGGACGTGCTCGAAAAGAAAGTCGAGAAAGTCTCCATCTCTAACCGTCTCATCAATTCGCCTTGCTGCGTGGTCACCTCGGAGTACGGATGGTCTGCCAATATGGAGCGGTATGTGTGTTTTATTAGTTCTTTTAAATCCATTGCATTTTAGGATCATGAAAGCTCAGGCTCTTCGTGATTCAGCAACGATGGGTTACATGGCAGGCAAGAAGCACCTTGAGATCAATCCCGAACATCCAATCATTGTGTAAGTTGCAATTTCCACGATAAAAGTTTTTTCTCCATTTAAGGAATCTTCGCGATCGGGTTGAGGATGACAAGAGCAACACAAGCATGAAGACTTCGAAGGATCTAATTGTCCTTCTCTACGAAACCGCTCTGCTTTCTTCTGGCTTCACTCTTGAGGAGCCCGGTCTCCATGCTACTCGCATCTATCGCATGATCAAGCTTGGTCTCGACATCGGGGATGATGATGAGGACGCAACCACTGCTGAAACTCCTTCCACTTCTGAGGTAGCTTGTCTTTGTAAAATTAGTGCTTATTTTTGATTTTAGGTTCCAAAGGTCGAGGGTGCTGACGAGGAGAAGAGCCGAATGGAGGAAGTCGATTAAGGAGGATCCCTGTGAATTATAATTGGCTGGTGTTTATAATAAAATTTGTATTTTCTTTTACAAAATGCATTAAATAATCAATGTAAATTAATGAGAACTGCACGAGGTTATGTTTGCTTTCGCTTTTACTGGAAGGTACTTGCGGACGTCACTGACTTTCCCGCCTATCGAGAACTGGATCCTAAGCTCGATGAGGCGGTCAGAAACTATAATTGTTAAGCCAGAAATAAATTTCTCAATGAAGAAACCTTTCTAGAATTTCCTCCATGCGGAAACTTGGCAACCAGCTAAACATTAAAAAATGAACACAATTACGCTAATCAACGATTCGGAGTGGCTTTGCTGAATGTCTTTTTGCCAACTAGGCGTTGTGAAATCTTTCGCGTGAACCCCATCAAATTAGCACTTTTTCTCGCTTTCCTCACTTCTCACTCTCCGAATAATTACATTTGAGGCCGTCTTTTTTGTAACAAAGTTTCACGCACTCACATTCCCATTATCACCATACAAAGAGTCTGAGATTTTTTTATGTGTACCTAGATTTTGAGAGGTCTTTAGCATTTTGATCCTTTTGGACCTGGGTTCCAAACTCTGGCTGTTCTCTGTCCAATCTCAAAAATCATTCCCATTCCGAACCCTGGCCACTTGTTCAACAACAACGACCCCGTGGACTTGGCCACTTTTAGTTTCATACCATCACTTGCCAAAAGCTGATCTCAATTTTCCCCAAATTTCTCTACAATGACCACATTGGTTTGGTGGGAGTTCATTCTTTTGGCGATCTGTTGGCCGATTTGCCTCCTCTACTTGTTCTACATTTTGTTCATGATGGTGAAGAAGTTCGGCATCCCAATCACCGTGCGGGAACAGTTGCGGCTGAATGTGGGTTTTGGAGAGTCGATGGATTTGTAGTGTAAAGACAACTCTAGGGTGTGATGAATGTGTCCCTCTTTCTCCACACCGAACTCGTCCTCCGCCCAATCGCTTATGAGTGGTTGTTCCCGATCACCGCATTGCCTCCATGGTTTCCCCGGGTTCTCTACGCTACGCAGGTTTTCCATCAATCCGTACAGCAAATTAGCCCCGCTTTCAGGTGATCCTCAAAAACAACATCTATCTGATCTACATCCCGTCGGCGATCAATCGTTTTACCGCTTTCTACTATCCAATCAAACATCAACATGTGAGTGAATTGAGACGAGACTTTCTTTCGAGACTTTCGAGATTCAGATCTGGGGTTGCGCGAGATTCCGGGTGCTTTTCTTCCTCGTGTGGACGATCTCCACGATTTTCGCTTTGCCAAGCATTCTCTCGGATTCGGCTCAATTCGTTCGAGCTCACGACAATGGACCGCTTGATTTGATCGCCTTTGATCAATTGGTAAGCTGATGTTGAAGAGAGGTCAAAACCCAAAAAGTAAATCATCGAAACTTGCACCAGCAAAACCTGGGAAATTGGGTTGGCCAATAAGTAAGGAGTCACGTGAAAGAAAGGAAATTTTGCCGTAAAGTTGGCCAGTATTGACCACTAAGAGACGACAGACTTCCCTCATTTCAAAGCACTTCCATTGATTGGGCATACTTTCCTATTTCTTTCTTAACTACTTCTTTTTTCGATTAGTGCAAATTTGTCAAATGAGCATATTCAACATGTTATGCTATTTGGGTCCTGCTCATCTTCAAGCCTAGCTCTAAAAAACAAAAGTAGATGGTGATGACTTGCTCTCCAAGATGTAATCGATGATTTCACACGTTTAAAAATGGGGGGATCTATGATCTAAAGCGACCGCTCCGAGAGAACGGTTGGGTGTGTGATTGGAAGTGATTGGATAGTGGGAGTACTGGAAGTTATAGGATAGCAAGCAAACACTTAACTCTCGACTAGACAGTAATCAATTGCAGAAGCTGGCTGAAGCCCTTGAGACAAAAAGACCAAATCTGAAAAAGGCCATATTGCAGCGAGACAATGCTCGTCTACACACTGCTAAACTGACTCGTTCTACATCCAAGAACCTGGACTGGGAACTTGTCCCCCACCCAGCATATTCCCCAGAACTAGCTCCTTCAGATTACCATTTATTTCGCTCAATGGAAAATCCCTTAGTCGGAGAGCACTTTGAAGATGAAAAAGATACCAAAAAATGGGTACAGAACTAGTTTGACTCAAAATCAAAGAGTTTTTACGCGAGGGGAATTCACCTTCTACCAGTAAAATGGGCAGTTTATGGAAAAAGATGAAAACTATTTTGATTGATTTAGATGGCCTCATTGAATAAGTATTTCTGCTTGAAATCGACTCATGACTTACCGGCCAACCCAATATTTCTTCAGGAACAGCATGATCTCTTTCGATTCCAGATCGGCGAAACCCTCTCGTTTCTCCTCTCGTTGACGGCCGTCATTGTGACAACATCGCTTTCGATCGCTTGTCTCCTCAAATATCGTTCCATGCACTTTAGAGTCAATCGAAATGTCAGTGATCTCTTAGATATTAACAATGTCTTAGATATTAACAATAGAACTCCATTTTTGTCTAGCCTTTGACTCACTGCAATAATACAGGGTGGCCGACGAGATTTGGCGCGAGGTTTTTGACTTGGATGATGCCGGATTTAGCAAAATCTTTCTGAAACTTATAATTATTTTGCAAGAGTTTTGAGTTATGCTCTTTCCCGCACCCTCCAAGAAAGGCTTCTACTCGTTTTTCTAAAGTTTTAGGTTAAATATCTTTTGCAAAATTGGGTAGAATATCCGGACTAAAATTTAGGCAAAATAATTAACCAAAAATTAACCAAGTAACCAAAAGTAAGCAATTTTTTGAAACCAAACAAATCTTGGGTATGTTACAAAACCTCGATTTTTGCCGTTTTTTAAGGAGTGCTGGTGAAAATGGTGGTAATAGTGGAAAAAGTGGGTAAAAAGACTTTTTTTTCTATTTTTCTATCAGGTTCCAGTTCAAGTTAACCAAAAAAAAAAGAACTTAGCTGGTAATTGAGAACATCCTTTCAGCAGCCAGCTTCATGTACAACACAATAGGGCGAACCTTTAGATCACTCTCCGCGCAGAGGCCTTTTTTGGAGGGCGCAGAAAATGGAATAACTCAAAAACTAGGAGACTTCTTGCAGAGTAATTATAACTTTCAGAAACTACAGAAAATTCGCTACCTTTTTTAAGTTCAATAGGTTTTGATAAACCCGACATCATCTACGAGTCAAAAACCTCGCGCCAAATTTCGTCGGCCACCCTGTCTATGTACTCAGAGTTTCTCCAGTGAGGCCACTTGTGAAACGAAGAGTAGACGAACGAACGACACCCAAGCAATGAAATACTCACACAAATACAAATCACTTTCAGCTCTACGAATGCCAACTCTTTCTCACCTCCCTCACCGCCTATCCTCCATTTCTCATCTACACGATTAAGTGGGTTTCTGCAAAATCGTGCAAAATCCATCGAAACCCATTCCAGAAGCGTCCTCGAATTGGTCTCCTCCTTCACCGGAAATGAATCGATGAAGCAAACCTATTTGATCACCTGGTAGCTAAACAATCCAAATTGTCCAAGAGAAACAATCGTCACAATTCCAGGTACTGGTTGCTGGACATTCAAACGCTTCTCCCGTTGATCCCCATTCTGATCTGTACCGGTTTCTTCAAATTTATCACTTCCGGTGTCAAGCATTTGTTCTCTTCGGAGCCAAGTGATGGCATTTCACCGATCACTTCTCCCGTTCCCCCTCCATCAACAACTAATGGTGGAAGACCGACCTCTTCTACCCAAGTACAATGCACGATTCCTGAGGTGGAAACAGTTACAAGAAAAAGTTCTGAGAATTCTCTCCGTGCAACTTTTGAACTTTCCGCGCATGATTCCACGGTTTGATTCTTGGTCGGTGAAAGAAAAGAAAAGAAAACCAATGTAGACTGCAAATTACTCTTTTGGCCCAAATCTAACTAGTTTCAAAGTACATGTTGTTCCTGTTTATGAGGCAATAAATAGTTTCGTGCTGAAAATCTCTTTGTACAATGAACTTTTTGCTCTCAACAAACACTGGGCGGGTATTACTTGCTGGTCGTTGGGGGAATGGTAGTCCCTCAAACAGATCAGAGGTACATATTCGTTTAAATCTTTTTGTTGATATTCCAAACAATTATCTTATTAAACAAAAGATTAACAAATGAATTAAATGAGATTGAAATTAAATGAATTAAATGAATTAAATAGAATTTTGGGTAAGCACAGAGTAAAAGTGGGTACTCGTAATTAACGTTTCAGCGAGGTATAACGAAAATATATAGCTAAACAAATACAAGGAAAAACAAGTATCAATTCCCCGTCAAATCGATGACTTCGATGGATTGCAAGTTGTGCAGCTAAAATCAATGATAACATAGTTGTTAATGAAAAAAACTAGGAAACCTTCTGCTCTAACATTGTGATTGTGTCCTGATTTTGTCCAATTTGCCGATAAAGCTAAAAGAAACCTAGATCAGTACAATAAAAAGCCCCAACGCGTCTTCGTGTGGCTGCACTCTCCTCGCGTAGCTTCTTGTCGTATGCATCAATCTTCTGAAGAATTGCAGCAGCTAAACTTGTAGTCTTGTGTTTTTTATGAAAGTTTTTGTCAAGCAAGATAGGTAGTTTAAAATACCCTGCTTTCCCGCGAATTAGATACCCATGAAAAAAGTTTACCTTGGGAGCGATGCATGTTCCCACCTTGGTTCCAAACAGGCTGAAAAAACTCAAATTTGTCAAAGTAAACAAAAAAATAAAGGTATGCTTATTTTTATGTGCAAATAGTTTTTTAATATTTACCTCTTCTTTGATAGTCCCCTCAAGATTGAGGCCCGAACCATGAGATAACGGCTAAAAAAAGTATTTCAGATTTCCAAAAGCACTTTTTATCAAATTAAGAAAATTATCACCATTACCCAAAGTCAAAGTACTTTCGAAAGCAAGAGCATAAATGGTTCTCGTAAAGCTGCTCACCTCTTTTTTGATAGCCCCTCCGATATCCTTAAATGAACTTGCGGATACGGATTGATCAACACCGGACGACATCTAAAACAATTGGCAATTAAAATATTTTAAACAGTTTGCATGCTTCAAAACCCGGCCCTAACAATGCACACCTGAGGCAAAGTGGCTGCTGATAAAAACACATTTTCTCAATCAAGATAAAGCAAACTGGGTTTTTTAAACAAACTTGAAGATTTGTGCAATTAGCGGTTTCTTTTGGTACAACAGCGCTTGGGTTTACCATAGGAGTTGCTAAAAACTAAGAACTTCAACGTAAAAAAGAAATTACAATCTTTTCTTACTTGATTCCTCACATTTACCAAATTTTGTCCCGTATTGATAGGCTTCTAAAATAAATATACAGCTAAGCAATCTTTTTCAGCTCAAATCAACAAAGACTATAATTATATGATTCAACTATGATTCACTTGAAGATTTGAAGCAGAACCGGAGCTGCTTACTGGTGTTGCTGGAGAGATACCGTTTGGTTCAAGCTAAACCCAAAAAGATTTGACAATTAAACTCAAAGCAAACAAAGCGCTTGTAAATTTCCGGATCCAACTTCCCAGGCTTAGCGCCATTTGCCTGTCTTGTTACTTGCTCCACAAATTTCTCATGCAGATCCGGGAAGCAACTTTTCGCCGTCGAGCAATAGTCAACCAAATAATCATGCCTTCTAAAAAGAAATACATATACTTTGAATCAAAAGTCAAACGAACATTTCAATTAAAGCGGCTGTTGGGCAAGAACTCTGAATATGCTTCTGGACGTACACTTTGGATTGTTTGAAGAGCTGGCATTTGCTACATGCAAACTTCTTAATTCTGTAAAAAAACCATGGAAAAGTGAAAAGAAACCAAACTTTTGATGAGATTGCACATGCCTGACAATCGTCGAGAATGATTTTCCACCATGCCACAAACAAATCTTGAAACAACCCTGAAATGTTGCAAATATTCCCGCAAGAATACTAATTTAATGACCGGAAATCCGCATGTCAATGAATGGCATGGCAATGAAGGCGAATTCATCGTCATTTCCACCTAAAGAATACGAGTGCTTAAAAACCATCAAATTAATCGGTTATCCGAAAAAGATCGAACGGCTAGCGGAAATATTTCAACCTTAATCGGCTATGACATCTATATCAAAAGATATTAGAGATATAGACAAAGGTTAAATAGACCGAAAATTGTCTACTTACTGCCCTCTATAGGTAAAAACTTTATTCTTAACCAACATTATGACAAACCCTAACAAACGATAACAATAACAACACACCTCGAAAGGGTATACAACGCCAAAAAATAAGCAGGAAGCTCCTGGCATTGGGAAATGATGTGAACGGTCAATTTGAAAGTGTTTAGGCGCAAGACAAGCAAAATTCGACAAAATGACAACGTAAACGGGGCAACTAGTCAATTCACAGAAGTTAAAAAAGCCTTTGTAAATTGTCACAAACTCAAATTTGTTGACCAAGTAGGTGAGAATCGTGGAAAAATGGGCCACCATGAAGAGACATCGGATTGAAGTAATTGGAGAATCCGCTCATTGGAGTAAGTGGTGGCATTGCCGATTGTGGCTGCTGTTGACGAGCTTCCATGGGGACCGGAAGAGAAAAGGCCTCGTAGACAGATGGACTAAAGCCAAAACTTTATGTTAAGATATTCTAGGCTTTAAAAGTTTACATATCTGCTTACTAAAAGAAAAAAACTTACTGAAGCTTGTATTCATGGGAGCTGCTGCTGACAAAAGCTGGCGATTGTGGCATAGCTGGCAACGTGATTGGACTTGGCGATGGTTGTGGCGACATCAGCAAAGGACGCATCGGTGACATTGGATAAATTGGTGTCATCATACGAGTATTCACTAACAGAGACATATAAAAGATTAGATCCAAAAATCGCATACTGTAGATGCTCCCCGTCTTGTGAGGCTTGTAAGTTCCATTGATGATTGCCAGTTCCATAAGTTGCTTGCGCTTGAAATCATCTGTACCCTCTGGCTGAAAGAATACAGTAAAATAAGGTAATTTACACAATCCCTTACTGGAGTAAGTAGCTTCCTGACGATTTTGCTAGCGTTGCTCAGCTTGATTCGCGCACGATTTTCCGTGTCCTCACATTGAATCAGCACGTGCAGCTCATCTTCCAGGTGTTCCCAGTTTGGCTTGCCGCGGTTTGAATCTTCCTGAAACTTAAATACCACTAAAATATAGCCAACAAGAAAATAAGTGTATACCTTGCGGCGATCCCTCATTGAGCCACGTCCTCTGACCATTATTTTGCACCCAGTCTCCTGCTCCAGCTGTTTAGCAGTCATTCCACGCGGTCCCAAGATTCGACCAACGAAGTTGTACTGAACAAAGTTAATTTATACAACCAACGAGAAAAGCTAACTCACGTCAGGATAATCATTCTTTGGAACGTAGAGCTTCTCAGTGATGGTAACGATTTCCCCGACAGCTTCAGGTAGAGCGAGTTCACCTTGCACAAAATCCGTTTGAAAGATTTGCGCGCGGACACGACTGATTTCTAAAACTCCAAAACTACAATAAACACGTTAAACAAACCATCTTCAAGAATTCGTTCCACATTTGGGAAAAGCGATGGAAACATTGTCAAATGCTTCTTTTCCTTGAGCAGCTCAGCGAAGTATTCCATACCGCCTTCGCTTCCAGAGAAAACATCAGGCAAAGCCAAATCAAAATACATAACATTACAAGACCTTATACCACTTACCAAAATCACTTGAGCTACTACAAGGACGAATTCCCGAGCCGGGCTTCTTGGGCGACGTTGTTTGGAGCGAGCTCTTCGTGGAAGTGCCGCTTTTAGCAGAAGGCGATCCGTCTTCATGACTACGCGATGGCTGAACCAGAAGCGATGGACTCAATGGCAGCTTTGGGTAATGCATCGATTGGCGAGTCGACAGCATTCTAAAAACAAAAAAGGTTAACAGGTTTGATAAAATAAATGAAAGCAAAAGATAAGCCGAAAATTAGATAGATGTGCAGCCAACATTTTGCCCCATATTATGCTGTTTTAGCCATTAGGACAAAATGTTGAGCTCTATGCGTTTAACATTTTGACTCATAGTGCTTAAGCCTTAGAAAACTTGAAACAGCAAGCGAAAATTTGTGACCAAGTTTGAAAGCAAATCGTGTGAAAATGCGAAATTAATGGTATTTGCTGTGTTTTTCGTCGTTGTTACTGTATTTTCAGACGTTTGTCTCTTTTCCTGTCGGGTGCATTTTAGCATTTCAACTTTTTATTAACTTTTTATTCTTTTCCTTCTCGAAGATTTTGCATGACTTCCGATAGCATTTTGTTGCACATCGCCGCGTACGGATTCAGTGCAACCAGTTGCATTTTCGCGAACGATGAACCCAAAGCGGCCGCTTTCTCGTAGTCAGCCTAAACGTTTCAGTGAGATAAAATTCGGGCATTGCTTCTAACTTTGTTATTTGGATCACTGGATGGATTCATACAGCTTGTTATATCTACTAGCCGTAATCATTGTGTTACCATCTTATTGGTTTATGGGCTACGGTAGTCTAGCCACGGTTTGAAGCGTCTGCCCAACTCGACATTTGAAAAAGTTAGCTTTCTCGCGATGTTTTCCTGTATCTAGCAGTACCCATTTTGATACAGGTAGTCGAATTACTGTAGGCTAGTGCAAATTTTTTTTACGAATTTTCCCCACCTTTGCCCCCTGATCATCCCCATTTAGTCGTCGGATGAGAGCTCTTTGCACGAAAGCCTGACATCCCGATTTGCCCTTTCCCTCACTCAGCTCAAGTGCCATGTCGAGATCGGACATGGCTTCTAAAAACTTCTATACTTTTACCATTTGTATGAGTACGCCCTTTTCTTTATGAAAATCCAATAGCACTGACTTTCCGTTTCCGAATTGAGGCGATGCGCTTGAGCTCGGTTGTTGAACGCTGATGGATTCACCGGACAAACCTGACAATGAGCTTTTATGTTAGGTTGGGGAGAAAGTCTTTGCCGATTTTTTGGGAGAGGGCCTTAAACTTGTCCGATCTGTACGTGTAATAGCTTATTCAAAAGCTAATCTTTTAGTGGATTGGATGAAAAAAACCGTTTTTTGGTATATCAATTTTTACTGAGCCAGATCCGAAATTTCAAAAAAATGAAGTTTTTCATTTTTTGTACGAAAACCTAGGCTGAAACCATGCTTTTCGGTTTTTTATCCAATCCGCTGGAAAATTAGCTTTTTGAATAAGCTATTACACGTCTAGATCGGACAAGTTTAAGGCTTTCTCCCAAAAAAATCGGCAAACACTTTCTCCTTAACCTAATACTTTAAGATCTTTGAGACAATTCTCAAAAACCTCAATAGCTTCATCGAATTTCTCCAGTGCTTTTGCAATATTTCCCCCTTCGGCGAGAGCAATCGCCTCCTTTTCGAGCTGCCGACTTTTTGCGTATTCAGGGTGATCGATTTGTTCTAAAATGAAGGTGTTAAAGTTTATCTATAATTATGCAACTCTGCATGCACTGGCTGCTTAGAATCACTCCAACTCCAACAACGCCAAACTACGAAGTTGTGTAATCAACCTTGGGCAACGTTGAGAACCAAGTTAAACCTACCAAGTCATTCAATTAGTAAACTAGAGAATTTCTGAACTAGACGACAGTTAGAACACCAATTTCCAAAATATTAATTAAATTCTTGAACCAACCATCCTCAGCGACTTTCTCTTCAGTCGGATCCTCATCGGGCATCAACGGATTGAGAATACGGTTCAGAATTTTTCGATCGTGTGCTGTAGCCATCTAGAATATGAGATTAAAATACGGTACGGTAATCTATAGTCTCGAAAATTGGCCTTGAATTGAAAGCAAATTTGAAAAAAAGCAGATACTGAATTACGGTATGGTTTACAGCTGTTCTTGAATACAAATTTGGAATATTCTCAGGTACAATAGAAGCAATAATCTCAATCCAACTGTTCATTCAAGTACTCAACTTCACTTTGGATTTTACAAACAGACACAAGGAGAATGCAAATCGCCTAAAACCGGCAAAGTTCCAAAAAGCTACTTTATCTTTTAAAGTAATTAGACAAAACTCAAAATCACATGGATCTCTTTCCCAACTACAAACTGATCAATAGTTGCCAAAGAGGGGGATAAACGAGGCTATTCCAAGGCCATAAATCATCCCATAGTCAGTGACAAAAAAGATTGGGCAGATATTTTTAGCTTTTTAAATGTTTTAATATATATTTTATTTCAGTAATAAAGCGTAACAAAAAGATGCACAACAGACTAAAATTTAAATGACACAGTTTGCAATTAATCGGAAGAATGGGAAAAACAATATCATGTACAGATCTAGTAACTTGGATAGTTTGAGCCGAGAAATAGCGGATTTAAACGAGCTTAGAGATGAAAGATTGCGAATTTCATTGAGGAGAGAATTCCACAATGTTACTACTCGATTTGTAAAAATAACTTTCACCACTTTTAGACGAAATAGGATTACATTACAAAAAAAGTGTGCCCTTTTGGGAAGCCGACTGCCTTAGATTTAACGGAAGAAAGTTTCAAAAAAGAGGATTAGGGTGAATCTCTTTAACAATTCTAAAGCATTCAATCAAATGTATGATAAGAGTTTTCTGAAGACTATTTTAGAAAACTACCATAATCTAACTGCCAGTTTTCATCCGATCAGCCCAATTTTTGTATCATTCACTGAGCCTTGTGATTCCTCATCGAATGATACCAAAATTAGATTGGATTTTTTTGGATTTAATGGAAGAAAGTTTCAGAAAAAAAGATTAGGGTGAATCTCTTTAACAATTCTAAAGCATTCAATCAAATGTATGATAAGGCGGCGTTATATATATATATATATATGCTTTATTTAGTTGAATAGCGACAAAACAAAATCACAATAATTACCCAGGACACCACTCAAAACACACCCAAAAGATAAATAGATACCTCAAGAAAGAATCACAGAGCAGTCAAATCAATTGCCGAAATTGCGGCTTTAAATCTAGCCAAGGTGGAAATATCACGAACATGAGGGGGTAAAATGTTCCAGAATTTAATAACTCGATTAAAAAAGAAACTGTGGGGGCTTTTAGAGGAAACGGAAGGTTGGCGTAGGAGAAAAGGCGGATACTAGAAGATGAAAGATTCTGGAGGCGCCCCGTAGCGAGCCGAATTCAAAGAGACCAGAAAAAAGGGGGTCGGGATGAATGCCTTTAACAATTTTAAAGCATTCCACTAAATCGATGATAAGGCGGCGTTGGTGTAGAGTTTCAAGAGTGAAGAGCTTGAGTCAATGTTTAG